GTTCACCCTCTATTTATATCCAGTAATATTCCCGGTCTGCAGTCTTGGGTGTTGATATTTCATACGTTTTGAAGTTCAAAGATTTCAAAGGGCGCCCGACTGCTCTTGATCAAACGGTATTTGGTCATGATTACAACATTTAAGGCCTCAGAAAAGCTTCTAAAGTAATGTGTGAATCGTCGAAAGGAAACACCGATGACGATGTTTACATTGGAATAGTGGGGACAATCCACTATCCACTGAATCGGAGGCAAAACCTTGATTCGTCTGTAAACTTTGTGTCACGCCCTTGAGCTGAACCCGTCCCTGGTGTCAAGCATACCAAGCCGTGTGGCAAGTTACAAGGGTCTCGTCCTGCCCAATTGCAAAATGCCTTGCTTTCAGGCGGGCTATTTTTAAGGATTAGGTGTCAATATTCCCTCTTGCACGGAATTCTCTATTAATTACAGGGCAAATCTGAACCTACTGCATAATGGAATTAATTGTATAAAATTACACAATTCAATGACACAATGTTGTCCTACGTGGTGCTTGTTTACGCTTTACATGTGGCGGTTGGGTAGCCCTGTGGTTAAAGCGTTCGCTCGTGACGCTGAAAACCCGACTTCCCGAATGGGTACAATGTGTGAAGCCAATTTCTGGTGTCCTGCGATATTGGTGGAATATTGCTAAAAGCGGTGTAAAGCCATACTCACTCACTCACTTAGGCTTACCACACCAACTCTCGTTGTAACCCTACACGTTTGACGGTATCCACAGTCGAAACATTACACTTTTTGTTTTGCCAAAAATCCAGGCAACTTGGGAAATCCCTACCGCTAACGTGCCCACATTTAGCAGTTTGGATTGTACATTAAAATATTGTCTCAATTGTAAGTGTGTGTTAGTGATGCAACGCAATAGTATTGAAAATGTACTCCTCAACGATAGACACATTCAAAATATAGTTCACTTAGTTTTTGTCCACAGTATATGTGAGACGCTCCAGGTGCGTCAGTGCGGTTGTTTGTGTAAGATTCCCAGTGAAACCTTGACTATTTTTATCGATTTTGAACCTTTATTGCCACAAGAAATCACCTCACAGCAGCGATATACGTTTTGGAATCTTTGTATGGCATTAAAAGTGATACACATAAAGACAAGATTTAAAGAATTTTATGGATGTCAATTTCTGTATTGTGATGGACACGACGTTTCGGAGTATATCTGATGAAGGAGTAAGAATACTCTCCGAAACGTCAGGTGATGAAGGAGTAAGAATACTCTCAGAAACGTCAGGTGATGAAGGCGTAAGAATACTCTCCGAAACGTCAGGTGATGAAGGAGTAAGAATACTCTCCGAAACGTCAGGTGATGAAGGAGTAAGAATACTCTCCGAAACGTCAGGTGATGAAGGAGTAAGAATACTCTCCGAAACGTCAGGTGATGAAGGAGTAAGAATACTTTCCGAGAACGTCAGGTGATGAAGGAGTAAGACTACTCTCCGAAACGTCGGGTGATGAAGGGTGATCTCCGAAACGTCAGGTGATGAAGTAAGAATACTTTCCTCGAAACTGTCAGGTGATGAAGGCTAGCATACTTCCGGTATATCATTTATTTCTTGGACTTATGTAGCTGCGGCAAAATCAATACAAATATACTATTTCTTTCCAAATCGTCATCTTTGTGTTATTGTAAACAGCTTCAGTGCCAAAAACGCAGCAGTTATAACCTTTCCCCTTGTTTTAAAGCGTTTAAAGAAATATTCGGCAAAACGACACCAAGAAAACATGCAAGTAAGCGGAAAAACATGCAGTAGCGATCACTATGAAAAGGCAAACGTTGTGTTCAAGTTTTACCATTCGTTGTTGCCTGGAAAAGAGGAAATCATCTGGTTGCCGACAATCGAAAAATCGCCATAGGCGCTTTGAAGCTGGGGAATCGTTGTCTGCAGTTGCCCGACATTTCAACGTTCATCACAGCACTATATCTCGCCTTTGGGATCGTTTCTGCAGACCAATTCCGCCCAAGGTCGCCCGAGAAGCGGCCGTCCACGAGTTACCCACCAAGCCCAGGACCGCTACATCCGGGCTGCTCACTTGCGTCATCGTCTTGCCACAGCCGTGGAGAAAAAGCGCATCCCTGGTTTGAGACGAATTTCCGACCAAACTGTCAGGATTCGATTGCATGAAGTGAGATTTCGACCAGGAAGGTCAGTTGTCGTCCCTGTTTTGAGACTTCAATCGGACGCAATCGAACTGGAACCTTAGAAACTGGAGGCGAGTCTGGTTCACGATTTCTTCTTCACCGGCGAGATGGAAGACAGCGTGTCCACCGTCGGAAAAATGAATGTTTTGCCCCTAATTGCATTCGCCAGGTCGACAGATTCGGTGGGGAAGGTGTCATGGTGTGGGGTGCGATGTCCAACACACAAAGATATGATTTAGTGGTGGTTCAGGGGAATTTGACAGCAAATCGGTGCATCAACGAAGTCCTTGCAAGTCACATGCTTCCGATTGTAGACCGACAGAGGGAGTTGTTCCAGCATGACAACGCTACTTCACATGCAGCACGCGTCACGGTCCGCTACCTTACCAATGCTAAGTCAATGTCTTGCCATGGCCTTCACGATCAACAGATCTAAACCCGATAGAACACCTATGGGATGAACTCGATCGACGTGTACGTGAACGTCAAAGCAGGCCTCAGACACTACCACAAATGGTCATCGCATTGCAGGAATAGTGGGAACGAATAGACCGACATCGTCGACTTATCCTGTCCGTGCCGAGACGGTGCCGAGCAGTAATTGCTGCCAGTGTTGGCCATACAAAGTACTGATCTTGAAGCCATCTTGTGGACTCAAGTAAACAGAGACACAATAATTAAGGCTGTTGTTGTGTTGGCGAATTCTGTGTCTATAGATGGATGAATTTGTCATTGCTTTGTACCATTGAAATTACATGAAGCAATTGCTCTTAAACTAACGCACTACATTCTTCTAAACTTGGCTTATGCGTTTCTGTTTTTTTAAGAGTGTTCAAATGAGGACAGTCAAGTATTGGAACAAACGAGAAGTGTTAAGCACAAAAATGAGCTGCACGGTCGGTTATATATGTAAAATGTGAAAGTGACGCACTCATGTGCGTAGAGTGTCATTCATGATTTTGACACTTTCAAAGAAGGTCCATTAATCTCTGTGGATTTATTTCAGGTTTGCTGATTCTGCTTATGATTTATTGATTTCAGTCATTGTTTGTGCAGAAAGTAGCAATGTGACGTTAGGAGCTTTTAGGACTATTGGCATGCTGTGAACCCGTGAAGATCTAGGTTAAAATTGATCTTCAGTAACCCATGTTTGTCATAACAGGCGACTAACGGGATCGGGTGGTCAGACTCGCTGTCTACGTTGACACATCGTATCCCAATTGCGTAGATCGATGCTCATGCTCTTGGTCACTGGATTGTCTGGGCCAGACTCGATTATTTACAGACCGCCCCCATATAGCGGGAATTCTGCTGAGTGCGGCGTAAAACTAAACTCCATCACTGACACATCCTGCAACGACAAAATGTTCAACGTTTCACTGACTATACGAAAGGTACCAAACCAAAATTTTGACGAACAACCCCCTTCAGACATATGACAGGTATAGAGTGCATCACGTTTTTGATCAGTAAAAACACAGAATGTGTTTACATTAGAGATTTATAGAAAACTCGATTTCCGCATTAAAGCTGGAAAATTATTTCGGAGTACCCACATGGTCACGTGGTTCCTAATTTGCTACAACTATGTTTATTGGTTATTTGGAATTGCCAAAATTCAAAGATACTAAGTATCGTTGGCTAAGAGTTATTTTGTATATTCCAAGTATATATAGAGAGTTTCAGCCTGATTATAAGGCGTTGTTATCCATGAAGTCGTATGCTTCATTAATTACTTACCACCTACTAGAATGTCGATCAAACAATTAGAATGACACAGTCCCTGTAAACAACCATTTCAATCTATCGTATTTTGGGATACACTGTCCCTTGACTCAATCAACACATTCTGCAGCCTTCCATTTGTGACCGAAAATTTGTGACTACAAATATTGTCACGTCGAACAAGGTCTGGATAGTTAAACATACAATATTTCCTGATAAATATATGTGTAAACATTTTTTGCTGGTATAATTGTCTAAATATTGCACGTTTCATTACCTTAAAAAAAGGACTTTTCTGAAACTACCATAAAAGAAACAAAAAATAGCAAGCATCGTTTACCAGTTGTAATTGTGTTATGATATACATGTATGGATCAGTCATCAAACTATATTTCTGTCCCTAATGAAACCAGACTGTCGCTGCATTCATGGAGTGTTGTCTGAATTCTACCACATCAAAGACCGACTCCGTCACATCGGAAAAGCAGCCTGTGCTACCCAGTACCGAACCGAGAAAGAAAGTTCTTTTGGGAGTGATCGTTGTGTCCAACTTCTGTGCACTGTGCTGTGTGTCTCTAATTGCACCCTTCTTCGTGATAGAGGTAGGGGTAGTAGTTATTGACTTTCTCACGTGACGTTAAGGAATCGTGAGGTGCGTTAGGGGTGGGAATGTGTTGTTAGGAGCTATCAAGTATATACAATAATACTATTAACTCGTAAAGACATTTTTTGCTATCAGGGTGAAGTAGCTAGTAATACAACCAGGGCGCATTGCCTTCTCATGCTATCAGGGTGAAGTAGCCAGTAATACAACGAGGGAACTTTGCCTTCTTATGTTATTAGGGTAAAGTAGCTAGTAATACAACTAGGGACCATTGCCTACTCGTGCTATCAGGGTAAAGTAGATAGTAATACAACTTGGGCATAGTGCCTTCTCATGCTATCAGGGTAAAGTAGCTAGTAATACAACAAAGGCGTATTGCCTTCTCATGCTACCAGGGTGAAGTAGATAGTCATACAACTAGGGAACATTGTCTACCCGTGCTACCAGGGTGAAGTAGATAGTAATACAACTAGGGCATAGTGCCTGCTCATGCTATCAGGGTCAGTTGCCTGCAAATGCAGCCAGGGCACATTGTCTACTCATGCTTTTAGGGTGAAGCACCAGTTCTACCATGCAGCTCATAAAGTGAGCCTATTGTTTGTTCATTACTTCCCCTAGGCGGCCGAGAAGGACGTACATCAAACCCTCACGGGGGTCATCTTGTGTTGCTCTGAATTTGTGATCTTTCTGACGTCACCAATATTTGGATATCTGGTAGGTACTTTCGTTCTCTTTTACATACACAACCACCACCCTATCACTTTAATTTTATTTTATGAACTGGTTTAGGGAACATGTTGATGTTAAGCTACTCATATGCGTGCAAAGTTATACAAAATGTTAAGGGTACGGTATCCATTTCAGTGGTAGAAGACATATGCATGTATGGTGTATTTTGATGACTGCGCATTAATGATAACTATATTCGTATCTTCAGCTGTCACGATTCAGTCCACGATCCTTCTACATTGCGGGACTCTGGATATTCGGCTGCTGTCATACATTGTTCGGGTAAGATTTGGTACAAATGTTGGGCAATGCATATTGGTCTACGACAACACTGAGGTTAATTGATATATTGTCGGATGAATGACGTCACGTAAGTGCCTAATGCTGTATAAGGTCATGGTTCCTCCAAGCAGCAGCTGTATTTTACCAAACAGCTGCTGTATTTTACCAAGCAGCTGCTGTATTTTACCAAGCAGCTGCTGTATTTTACCAAACAGCTGCTGTATTTTACCAAACAGCTGCTGTATTTTACCAAACAGCTGTTGTATTACCAAACAGCTGCTGTATGTTACCAAGCAGCTGCTGTATTACCAACCAGCTGCATTTTACCTGCTGTATTTTACCAAGCAGCTGCTGTATTCTACCAGGCAGCTGCTGTATTCTACCAGGCAGCTGCTGTATTTTACCAAACAGCTGCTGTATTTTACCAAACAGCTGTTGTATTACCAAACAGCTGCTGTATGTTACCAAGCAGCTGTTGTATTCTACCGGGCAGCTGCTGTATGCAGATCTCAAACAGCTGCTGTATTTTTACCAGGCAGCATTTTACCCAAGCAGCTGCAGTATTTTTACCAAGCAGCAGCTGCTGTATTCTACCAGGCGGCTGCTGTATTCTACCAGGCAGCTGCTGTATTTTACCAAACAGCTGCTGTATTTTACCAAACAGCTGCTTGTATTGGCTGCTCCTCTTCAAACAGCTAAGTTTTCTACCAGATAGCGGCTGCCACCAAGCGGCTGTTGTATTCTACCGGCAGCTGCTGTATTTTACCAGGCAGCATTTTACCAAGCAGCTGCTGTATTTTACCAAACAGCTGCTGTATTCTACCAGGCAGCTGCTGTATGTTACCAGGCAGCTGCTGTATTTTACCAAGCAGCTGCTCCATTTTACCAAGCAGCTGCTGTATTCTACCAGGCAGCTGCTGTATGTTACCAGGCAGCTGCTGTATTCTACCAGGCAGCTGCTGTATTCACCAGGCGGCTCTACCAGGCAGCTGCTGTATTTTACCAGGCAGCTGCTGCTGTACCATTCAGCTGCTGTATTCTACCAGGCAGCTGCTGTATTTTACCAAAGCAGCTGCTGTATTTTACCAAAGCAATTGCTTCATTTTGCGGGGAAAGTATGCAATCTTTGCTCCTAGTTCGAGGAATGAAATGCGTAACAGAAAAAAGGACTAAGGTTCTGTTCATAATATGGTTTGTGTATGAATAATAATAGAGAATATTTTCAGTATAAGCTGGAACCCATTATATATGGATGACAACAAACCCAATTGTTTGTAGGGATTGTCTGTTTGTAATAGTGGCATCTTGGTATAGATTTGTGTGCCTGACATAATTAAATGTTCAATCACATTTACCCTGCTTAGTGGAGTGTAGGGTCTAAATTGCAGTGAAAACCCTTAATACTTGCAGACTGATCCCGTATCCCCATTGTCTGTACTACTTGAGAATGTACATAAGGCGTTACTAATTGCTAAAAGAATAATGACAATGGTGAATCATATAATTTTTTATGAAAGGTAGAAGTAGTTTTTGAAAAGTGACCCCACAATTTTTACTAAAATACCTCAATAATATAAGAGTTGACTCCTTGATACGCCTGCATGGAAAATGTCGAAGAGGAAGCGATCATATAAACATTCCAGACATTGAGGGGACCCCAGCAATAGAGAACACAGATTGATTCAAAAGTCGTCATCACAAAATCTTCATTTAGTTCCTACCTTGTCAACTGCTACTCTCACCTGGTTCAGCAATTGTTTAACTGTCTGCACAACAGCGCTCAGTTTGAGTGTGGTATTGAACCTACCTATACCGCCTTTGTTATTACGCCAGATCATCATGGATGTCAGGTTTCAAACACAAGTTTGTTTGTTGTTTAACGCCGCACCCAGCAATATTCCAGCTACATGGCGGCGGTCTGTAAATAATCGAGTCTGGACCAGACAATCCAGTGATCAACAGCATGCACATGGATCTACGCAATTGGGAGACACAAAAATATCGCTTTAATATATGCTACAATTGTATGATATAGCATACGCGGTGATTAGCTTTGATGTCCTATTAGCCTTGTGGATATTTGACCTTGGCAACTGGGTCCTGCACACTATGGGACGGTGCATTATCTATTTCAGTCAAAGTCATATTAGGTGAGAGATGGACACCATCGAAAACACAGACACTGAGATCTTCTTGTTTGTTGAATTAATAAGTGCACATGATGCATTGCTTTAAACTTCCAGACTGACGAACCGGATAGCTGGAGGTGCTGTATTTGTCGGTTCATGCCTTGCCATCAGAGTAATGGAAGCCCTTGCAACTGCATCCATACTGACCTCGAGTTTTGTTATCGTTGGACAAACCTTTCCAGATACCATCGTGACTGTGTTTGTAAGTATAGGATGGGGTGTGGTTGATGATGGTGATAATGATGATGATTATTGCAGTTAGTATTATGTTTTACAGATTAAAGATAGTGTGCAGCAGAGAGGGTTCGGGTGATCCTGGCACGGTCAGGCTGGTAAGGCTGAAAATCAGCTCAGGGCCCTTGCCTCCTCTACACGCAGCCCAGACAGCGAATGGGACTTCTCCCAGGAAACGCTGCCTAGTCGAACCCACCAAGAACTTTCGAGAGAATATGTAGACGCCCCAACACTCCAGCCCTCTGCATTACTCAGAGTGTCAGAAGGGCTGTGCTCCCGGTGGAGAACCCGGGCACTCTCCTGATCTGCGCCAAGAGATCAGGAGGTACCAAACCAAGGGCACCGAGAACAACGGGGAGCCTGACGACAGTGTACGTGGGATGCAAGCGAAACATTTCAAAGGCGAGGTCCGCCTATTTAGAATGCTTTTCCTGAATCTTGCCAATCATATTGCTGTCAAAAGGGACAGACAATTCAATGATATAAATAAATTCATTGGCTTTATCAAAAAGGAAAAGAGCAGGTTTGCTGGCAGGAATTCTTCTGAGGCTGTATATGGGCCTATTCCACAGAAGTTTGAAAGCATCATTTTCCATGACGCCCTGGACATGTTCAGGGTCGTACCATGGATGGACCTCGGAGTCAAAGCCACAGACATGGCGGAGACGGTAGTAAAAGCAACGAGCCATGCCATCATGTCGTTTAAGATATGCTGTTTGTGCCAAAGAAGGGCATCAACTGACAAGATGTTAGACAGTCTCTGTAAATTCATTGCAAAGTCGACATTTTATATTGATATTTTGTTTAAGAATCATATTTTGGCGACTGCGAGTGGGAAGTGACTAGTCCTTGGCAGCAAAAAGGAAGCTATCAGTTTCACATTTAAGAACAGCCGACTTCATCCAGGCGAAGGAGTCGGTAGGATTGCTATTCTGTTCCACACACTGCATGTACACACGATGCAATGGCTTCTCGGAAAGCTTCTCCACAAATGACCGACTCTGGGCAGACTTGGTGAAGGACTTCACTTGGTTTACACCCATCGCTGTACCGTCCAGCAGTACATCGCCATCAACAAAATCAACCTCAAATTTCAGATTCTGTCCAACAACCTTGGCACGCTTAAAATAGCTGTGGAATTCCTTGCTTTCATCATGAGTCTTGACATGCATCACCAGAGGATCATCCGATAAATACATATGTGCAAAAGTACACAACAAAATTCTATCATGAAGAGCCTCCACATTAATTAAACCCCGACCTCCAGAATTGATTGCCATATATAAACGATTAAGAGAGGAACGAGGGTGGTGCGCCTGACCAGAAGGATCATGTCTGATATCTGTTATCAGACAGGATCCTTCTGGTCAGGCGGTCAAGACTCTGGATGTCTTGTTTTGTCCAATCAACTACTCCAAAAGAATAGGAAAGGACTGGCACAGCAAAAGTATTGGTGGCTTTGACCTTGTTTCGAGCACTTAGCTCTGAGCTCCAGAGTTTCTTTAAGCGAGCTTTATACTCGGCCCGAAGTTTCTCTTGAATCTGGGCATTCTGGAGCTTGTGTCGACCTTGCATTCCAAGATGTGTGTAGGCCTGATCTTCCACAAGATGCTCAATAACTCCTCCCCCCTGTAACTTGACCGATCCACCATTATTTATAACTATAGTCACCCCTCAAGACATTCAATTTTCAATAAACATGATGGCATCTCTAATTCATGTCACCCGTGAAGATCCGAGTTAGAATTGGTGTTCACCAGCCCATGCTTGTCGTAAGAGGCAACTAATGGGATCGGGTGATCAGACTAGGCTGACACATGTCAGCGTATCCAAATTGCGTATAATGATGCTCATGCTGCTGATCACTGGATTGCCTGGTCCAGACTCGATCACTTACAGACAGCCATATAGCTGGAATATTTCTGAGTGCGGCGTTAAATAACAAACAGGCAATACAAATAAATTTGATTCGAGGCAACTATCACAGGAGAATCAATTTGCTACAAATGGCAAATCCCATACATATGTATGGGATCCATATGACTGCGGAATCACCACTTACAAAAAACTTTATTCCCACAATTACAACTTAATTATCATTAGGGTTATAAGAACTTTATGATCGCTTTTACTAATACGACATCGTAATTATGTATAACTATATTACGACTGTCGTGATTTAAAATCTTGTAAAGGTTATTACGACTTTAAAAACTCTTCTCATCCCATCAGATTGCAGCACACACTCTAGTTCCATTCACACAATTTATGTGAAGAACATCGATTCACATCAACTCGTAATTACGATGTGAAGGCTCTATATCATACCACACTTCTCCAAAAATTAATAATGCATTTCTCTCAATAACTACCATCAGCCCTCAGGGGGAAGCTACCATATAATATATTCCAAAAGAAATTACGTATTTATATTACAATATTAAATAAAAAGTTCGAATGAATTAATGCAACGTTCCACTAAATCGACTCTCGGGCCTCCTACTGACCGAACATTATTTCAAGCGAACCCCATGAGTTATGTGCCTTGGAGCGCTCTTTACGAATCACTCTACTACCCAGAGTTCCATGCGGCAATCCAGGATAGTACCTCTGCCACAGGCCAGAAAGATGTGACGATTCGTCACATCCGTCAATTCAATATAATTAACTTATTTCTCAACTCTTTTATTTTTGACGAGTCTACACATCTAATTAAACATCTTTGATAGAATGGTTTAGTTTCATTGTTTAGGTCATTAGGTTTAGTTTTATCCTAAAACATGTAACACTATTTCGATTTGCGTAGCGATCCTTTGTTTACATAGGTTGTACGGCTCCACGTGCTGTCATCGATGCCGACGGAGAGCAAACGATGCAGCCAGTTTGATATCTAAATATGTACTGTCATAAACGTTACTGTCGCAGTTGTGGAAGAATATATATGTAACAATGTAAAACATTGTGAAGAGCGCGCCTAAAAAGGTTGCGTAAGGCCAGTCTCTTCTTATTATGAATATGCGCGTTTGTTTACAAACAAGAGAAAAGTCCGGTCACGTGATATGCAAATTAACCTGTGGCAGCGATGTTATGCTAAGTAATCACTGTGCCGGAGTGTGTTTACGAATATCCTACGCACTGTTCGGCAAACACCGCGTGCGACATTTTCGATGTAGGGAGCAATTGTTTACATTCCATATGTGGCAAGTGTTCTCTGTTTGGAAGCTGTTCGCCTCGAAGTTTCAATTATCGATTTCAAGCAAGTACGTAAGGGATAATAAGCCTTTTTATTGCGTTAATAGGAAGCTAAAGTGAGTATATATGCCCCAATATATATAATATAGGCCGAGATATTGTCGAAAATTTGTGATAGATATGTGCGGTTTGACCCCGGTCGGGTCCCTTGGTACACACCTCAACACACTCACGGTAGGATCCTGTATACAGATTTCGCAGTTTGAGTACTGGCTGTTTGTGTTTTAACATTGATGGCCTCAGTGAAACTTTCAAATTGTATTATGGTAGATCTGTGAAGGACATTTCCAAATCTGACGCATCGGTGAATCAAATGATATCCGGTGCAAGTCCCTATTTTAACTTGTACTGTATGTTCCCTTGTTATATTTTCACGTAAAAATTGACTTGCCTTTGCATGTGGTTGTGACAGGGTCACGGTTGATCGCGGTTCATAATACAGTCTGATATATATTTTTTCCTCGGAATCGTGCAGTTTCAGCAGAAATTTCCTTTGATTATATTGTTGGAAATGCTTTTTCGCGTCTGTTTCAGACGTAAAACATAGGACTAGATTTCACAATATTAAAAGGCGCGTTGAGGTTTACTACCGTAAAACGAAGTTTGTAATAGTATGTTCATATGACCATGATTCTTTCTGAACTCTCTCCACAGGGAATACTTGAGACGACGTTAAGCCTCGGCTTCATGGCAGGACCGGCAATTGGAGGAGGGCTGTATCAGGTACATGTCCTCCCCAAAATGTGGAGTGCATTGTCCTTTCATCTCAGGATCCAAAATTCACTGTGCACAGGTGGTCCTAGTAGGGTTGGGACGCGTCCAGGTTTTCTACCCGGGTACCCCACCACGATTACGCTACCATACCCGTATACCCGTTATGTTAATTCCTGACATCAAATTTGTAAGTAATGGCAAAATATATTCTTCAGCTCGGAGGCTAAAATTTCGAGTTTTTCAATATCTTAACCATGTATTATATTCAAACCAGGTGACTGTAAATAATGTCTAAATCTTCAAAGACAATACAACCTTTGAATTATGAAAGAATAACATATCACAGTAATATATTAGTCACATGATCATAACGGTCCGGGTATTGACATTGGTACCCGGGTCAAACTCATTACCCACCCGTCCCGGGGATCCGGATTACCCGTCCCAGCCCTAGGTCCTATGTGCGTGTCAGAAACAACCATGTTTGTAGGGTCGTCAGCGTCATGTTTGAGGGTTTCACCACAATAGTAAACGTTTCAGATCAGTATCTTCCACATCCTGCTGACACGCCATGGAATAGCTAGAAGGTAGTTCAAAACTTATTTAACCTATTCTATTCCGTGATGTAGAAGAAAAGAACATTGCACAAATCATTCCAGAAAAACCCCGAGTGTATTAACGGTATTATGGTACATCATTTCCTTGTGTTCGCTGTGCACAGTTGCGTGTCAGAAGCGTATGTTCAGGTGTGACCCCGTGACTAGAATGGTGTTCTAAGCGACTGTAAACCCAACTCGCTCACTATGATGTTCAGGAAAAGTATCATGCATAAGATTCTCGTTCCAGAAAAACGAGAGTATAATTATTTTCTGGAGATCCTCATGTTTTAGCTTGGCGGATACGGTCTCCCCTTCTGGGCGCTGGGAGTCTGCACATGTATCTGTGGATGTGCTTCATGCGCTCTATTCTCTCACCAGCCAGGTATGTCATCCTTAATCCATGATGCAAGGAGGTTAACCTTCCGACGCCAAGTTTCGTGGATTGTTTGGTGCTGATGATGTATCATCACGTTTCACCTCACTGTCACGTTAAGCCTATCATGTAAACCATTCATTGTATGTTGATCAGATCTGTGGTTTGATTTTTTTCTGCTATATTTTCCTTCTTTCAAACTGCCTTTATGCGTGTGAGTAGCCAAGTGGTTAAAGCGTTCGCTCGTCACGCCGAAGACCCAGGTTCGATTCCTCACATGGGTACATTGCGTGAAGCCCATTCCTGGTGTCCCCTCGCCGTGATATTGCTGGAATAGTGCTAAAAGCGGCGTAAAACCCAACTCACTCTTCCACAGAAGGCAACATCTCTTGCATCGGCCGGGAAGATGATGACTTCTGTTTTCTGGTTAACTAACTACCGTTAATCTGCAAAGGCATCAGAGAGATAATATCATATGTAAATATCGTGGGAATCCCAGGTGTGTTCTTTCATCATCTTCCAACGTCAGTTGTAGCCATGATCAATTCAGTAATATATAGATATGGCTGTGAACATATACAACTAATGATGGCGGATAGGTCACACCTGCAGGAGAAAGCGGTGAACGACAGTCGGATCCAGACATGGATGGGAGGTGCATGAGAACCTCGGACTATTTGAAAATTGTTTGAGAGTTAACAATCTTCATCAACGCAGTAATTACGCCATGTATTTCTGAAAGTCTATCCGACAGACTCCAAATGAACATTATTATATAAATTGTTTTGTTTTACAAAATAAAAAGAAACTATCAATGATCCCATGTGGTCTTGACGACCTAGTCAGCAATACTCTTGTGAGGTCGGGGCAGCACGGACCTATCTGAGTCAGCCGTGGGATGTTAACAAACCACCATCAACCAAGCAACACATTCTATTCACCAGGAGGTCAGTAGGCGCAATAGTTAGACACCGTTGTGTCGAAGTTAAAGGGGACCTTGTAAATAGTTCGAGTTATTCGATTTTTGACACAGCCCGAACGTGGAGACTAAATAAGGAATGTGCAGGATCCAAGGTTTTACTTGGAGACAACTGTAGGTCCGACTCCAAGGTTTTTTGACTGAATATGCATAGGGTGTTGAGGAGGAAGTATTTTAACCAGACTCTGAGAGTCTTCTGTAACATGTAGAAACATGCTGAACAGTTACTGTTGTATTCTTGCAGATATTCAAACGGTCCAAAGTTCCTCGAAGACAATATGGCCGCTTCTCCGATCGCTCGAAGTTTGGCTTGCTCTCCAGGGTATCGTTGTGTCTCTGTTTGCCATCACCGTAATAGAGCCTGCATTTGCCAAGCATCTTCAGCAGGCAAGTTCCGGACACGATAGTTTAATGAATGAGTTCGGTGACTCCCCTTTCCACTAACTTGTCTATTGGTTTGATGGAAGCTTAATCTGTTGTGTTGGTCACTCTATTGATTTCCTCGAGACTCGAGACTTTCTGTCTGCCTACCGTGCCTAACCGTTTTGACTCATGAGCAAACTGCAAATCTAAATACGGAATCTGATGTAATTCTCTAATGGTTTAGGGATACACCTCATAACAAAAGGGAGTTACTACTTTTACGTTTTGTAGGTCTGTTCTTCACTCTACAAATGAATTGAGACCTGTACAGTTAATAACATACTGTATACAATATATAGGTAGTATGGTTCGCAAGAATTAGGCTTTATACATTGTGTCCATGTGTGGAATCGAAACCGGGTTTTCGGCGTGACAAACGAACGCTTTACCAACTAGGTTACCCCAGCGTTCCGCCATGTGAAGTAACTGATGTTATGATTCACCTGAATATATGAAAATCTATAACAAGTTGATGTAATTAATGTCTGTATTTCAGTTCAACATTTCCCAGAGTGTGATCGGTGTCATTTATGCCACATGCCCGGGGGCTTATTCAGTATCGTGTATGGTCAGTGCATCAATTCTGGAAAGAAATGTGCGTATTTGACGGTCAGCTGACTCCCTGGACACTTGTTTAAATGTCCACTATAGATCTACATATCCTCATGCCACCTTGTGAACAGTAAATGAGAGTAGAAACCTCATTCAAGACACATGGTCGCCGCTCTAGTTCTTGTAATGAATTGACACCCAGGCATGTCGTATGATTGCCGTAAACTTTCTTACAAACGGAAAGCATTTTAATGCAATTACCCATAACCCCCATGTGCTCCAAGGCTTTGTACAGAACTATCACAAATATGCACATCCATATTTAACGTACTTTTTGCCGATTATGTACATATATTATGTTAGAGGTATATATATGTTACAGTGAATGTGTCAAATCAGAACATGTGTATATTTCCTGGAATATTTAGGAACTGTGTACATCTCCTGATTCACTCAGTAAATGTACACATTTCCTGAAATTTTCAGAAAACTTACAAATTTCCTGATTTGAGGGCCTGATGTTTTTACACATTTCCTGATATGAAATGTTTGCTATCTCAAATACTACAGCTTCGATTTAAAGGACAATCAAAATCAAAACTCATTTATTGTGGCAATTCAAGCTTGAATGACAACTGCTATTACACTCAAGTCCTGCTTTGTAACATCTACATTTGATGGTTTTGCACTGCTTAACACTTTGCGCACAACCATGGATAAAAGTTTCTGAGCCCACAAGTCAAATTGACTTCTACAGTAGCGTTCCTTCAGGATACCAGATCTCACAGCAACTCGACACAGGGTATTCTCATTTCTATCAATATCACACCCATGATATTTCGGGGGGTCCCCTTTGCCACGATCTACAAGGGAGATTGGTATTGTCACATTATCACCTGGATTTCCAGCAACATGTTCCAAACGACTGCGTTTCACCATGCGTTCAGCTTGAGCAAACTGTCCATCAGCAGCTCTCCTGCGGTTAAGCTGGATGTTTTGATGCTGCTCCTCAATCTGTGAGATCTCTGATGATGATGATGATGACACTGCAGAGGATGGATGGTCCTGCTGGTGTTTAAGATTAAGCTCATCTGTTTGTTCTGTGACTGGCTTCAAATAATTAGCATATTGTTATTATAACCTTATTATTATCCTCTTAACATCATTGCTTCGTTTTGACTTGTATGTTCTGTGATTGGCTTTAAATAATTAGCATATATTGGCCCATTCTCCTGTTTTCATTGCAAATTAAGCAAAAACTACATATCAGGAAATGTGTCAAAAATCAGGCCTTCAAATCAGGAAATGTGTACAATTTTCTGAGTGAATCAGGAGATGTACACATTTCCTAAATATTCCAGGAAATTTACACATTTCCTGATTTGACACATTCACTGTACCATATACATTTAGTACCCATATGGTGAAACCTAACCAATTTCATATATATCATGTGTGCACATATCACCTTTGCCTAGCAAGCATTATTTCTGTATTTCTTCGTCTGTGACGACATGAAATAATTGAACGTGACGTCAATGAAGAGGGCCGTCGCATGTACCTGCACAAATGTACATGAATAAAATTCATGTTGAGCGTTACTTTCTGCCTTGAATTCCTTTTCATAATTGTATTATCCATCAAGGATAGCACAGAAGAAATAATAAATATATTTAGACATTATCCTCACCAAGAATATTATTTTTGACATTTTTGCGATGTCTCTTAAAAGGATGTTGCATTCTTTAGTCAGTGTTATTAAGATATAACAGATGGTTGTCAGGGTGATAAATTTAATACTTTATACAATGGTGGATATTCACATCTCAGGTGCCTGCAGTTCCAGTGTTAGTGACCGGAATATGTTGCTTAGCAATTGACTTTTTGTTCATCGGACCAGCTCCCATCTTATCGTTTGTGGAAAGGTAAGTTAATCAATAGAGGAGGTGGGCACAGTCACTATTATACCTTTGTCATGTATGTTATATTTGTGATAACACTTTCTACATAACGTACAGATTCTAGTACTTTTTGGATTGAGTTCCATCCTGGATTCGAACCCTCACTCGTAATCAGGCACTTGTCCACCAGGGACTCCTTTCACGAAGCAACCTTTACTAAGGTTAACCAAAACTCCCATTCTTTAACATTGCACTAAGGTTACTTTAGTGACTGACGATCATCTTAGTGCTTTGTGAAAGGATGCCCAGGACACTAAAATCTGTACTTAATTTAGAAAAGTAATCCCAAAATTGAGCACCCTTTTATATAAAATTAGTGGTTGGATTTAGCGCTATATAAAGTTGTCATTATTATGTTTGACAGATTAAAGATAGTATCCAGCAGAGAGGGTTCGGGTGATCCTGGCACAGTCAGGCTGGTAAGGCTAATCATCAGCTCAGGGCCCTTGCCCCCTCTACACGCAGCCCAGACAGCGAATGGGACTTGTCCTAGGAAACGCTGCCTAGTCGAACCCACCAAGTACTTTCCGGAGAATATGAAGGCTCCCCAACACTGCAGCCTTCTGCATTACCCAGAGTGTCAGAAGGGCTGTACTCCCGGTGGAGAACCCGGACACTCTCCTGATCTGCGCCAAGAGATCAGGAGGTACCAAACCAAAGGCACTGAGAACATGGGGGAGTCTGACGACAGTGTACTTGGGATGCAAGCGAGACATTTCAAAGGCGAGGTCCGCCTATTTAGAATGCTTTTCCTGAATCTTGCCAATCAGGTTGCTGTCAAAAGGGACAGAAACTTCAAATAATAATATTATTATTAAACACAACAAATGCCGATGTGACGTAAAGCCCAACTCAACTAAACACAACATGCGTTATGCTGGCACCTGATCTCCAGCACACAAATTCTAGCCTGCCGGTTGTCCGACTTCCGGTTGTCCGACTTCCATTGGGAACCCGAGATGGTGGAGTTGGTTAGATTGCTGACATAACGTGCTGGCGACTAGTTGCGGTCAGTGTGGGCTGGAATCACGGATACAGTGTAATCACAAGTATACAATACGGAGTTACTTCCTAATTGGCATTGTCTTGTCATATTATGTCTTCAGTAACCCATGCTTGTCGCAAGAGGCACCTAACGGGATCGGATGCTCAGGCTCAGTGACTTGGTTGACACATGTCATTGTTTCCCAGTTGTACAGATCGATGCTCATGATGTTGATCACTGGATTGATTGTCTGGTCCAGATTCAGTTATTTACAGACTGCCGCCATATAGCTGGAATATTGCTGAGTGCGGTGTTAAACCACAAACAAACCAACCTTCACGCCCAGTGGAATCTGTTTCGACTGATAATTATGCTCAGCGTGTACATCCAAATGCTCTAGTCTGTCATTCATACTGACATAGTTTCCTTCTTGCACATTGTGGCAGAGATAATAATGACTCCACTCAATTTAATGAAACCGTCAACTAAAACTCAAGATCTACTCGAGTATATGATCATTGAAATGAATAATTACAGTGAAACCTGTCTAAACTGGCACAACACGGGACCGAAATAGAATGCCGGTTTAGACATGGTGCCGGATTAGGCAGTGACGATCATTTTCTGGTCTAGCCATCGTGACACACAAAGTGACTGACGAGTCAATAAAGCCAATGCCTATTAATTTACTCCTGACACATGACACTCACTTGTAAAGAGTTAATACAATCCCCCAACGTATGCAGTGTATGTATTTTACAATTCGAAATTGAAATCATAAAATGTAAAATGGGTACCTGTACAATTTATGTCAAACCTGAGCATTTGTTCACATATTTACTGGGGCGGTGGGGTAACCTTGTGGTTACAGGGTTTGCTCGTCACGCCGACAACCCGGGTTCGATTCCCCACATGGGTACAATGTGTGAAGCCCATTTTTGGTGTTCCAAGTCGTGATATTGCTAAAAGCGGCGTAAAACCAAACTCACTCCACATAACTACTATGGCAGCTAATATAACGATGAAGACACCAAAAACATTCTCCCTTCAGAATAATCACTTCATGAGTTATATAGCAAATGTGAAGGTTCTTGGTTCCATTGGCCTCTAATCTTCCAGATGAATTGACCGTACTGGTCACATCGTCAGTAAAACATCATCTACAACTGCATACCATCCCTCCCGGTAACATTTTTGTTTCCAAGATACACTTAAGTAATATTTGGCGTCTCAAAAGATAAGGAAGCATCCGTTTGATTCTAGGGGATGGATGGTAATCAGCAGTTGAGGGCGGGGGCGGGGTATGTTCAGGATCCGGTTCTATGAAACCTTCATTAACTGCTGGCAACAGTAAACCTTAATGATGCATTAAAGTCTTAACTTATCATTACTTCATGGACTTTTAATGATACGTTAATACATCATTGAAGACTGAAAGAAACAGGAACCCACACAAAATTAACGGGTGCTCAATTATTTCTGCCCATTGTGGCTGAGCATACTAACATAGTTTCCTTGTTGACAGCACATTGTGGCTCTGAACACTGACATAGTTTCCATCACAGTGTGGCTTAGCATACTAACATCGTTTCCTTGTTGACAGCACATTGTGGCTGAGCATACTAACATAGTTTCCTTCTTGACAGCACATTGTGGCTTGGCATACTAACATAGTTTCCTTCTTGACAGCACATTGTGGCTGGGCATACTGACATAGTTTCCATGTTGACAGCACATCGTGGCTGAGCATACTGAAATAGTTTCCTTGTTGACAGCACATCGTGGCTGAGCATACTAACATAGTTTCCATGTTGACAGCACATTGTGGCTGGGCATACTGACATAGTTTCCATGTTGACAGCACATTGTGGCTGAGCATACTGACATAGTTTCCTTGTTGACAGCACATCGTGGCTGAGCATACTGACATAGTTTCTTTGTTGACAGCACATTGTGGCTGAGCATACTGACATAGTTTCCTTGTTGACAGCATATTGTGCCTGAGCATACTGACATAGATTCCTTGTTGACAGCATACTGACATAGTTTCCATGTTGACAGCACATTGTGGCTGAGCATACTGACATAGTTTCCATGTTGACAGCACATTCGTGGCTGAGCATACTGACATAGTTTCCATGTTGACAGCACATTGTGGCTGGGCATACTGACATAGGTTTCCTTGTTGACAGCACATTGTTGCTTAGCATACTGACATAGGTTCCTTGTTGACAGCACATCGTGGCTGAGCATACTGACATAGTTTCTTTGTTGACAGCACATTGTGGCTGAGCATACTGACATAGTTTCCTTGTTGACAGTATATTGTGCCTGAGCATACTGACATAGGTTCCTTGTTGACAGCACATCGTGGCTGAGCATACTGACATAGTTTCCTTGTTGACAGCACATTGTGGCTGAGCATACTGACATAGGTTCATTGTTGACAGCACATTGTGGCTGAGCATACTGACATAGGTTCATTGTTGACAGCACATTGTTGCTTAGCATACTGACATAGGTTCCTTGTTGACAGCACATTGTGGCTTAGCATACTGACATAGGTTCCTTGTTGACAGCACATTGTTGCTTAGCATACTGACATAGGTTCCTTGTTGACAGCACATTGTGGCTGAGCATACTGAAATAGTTTCCTTGTTGACAGTATATTGTGCCTGAGCATACTGACATAGATTCCTTGTTGACAGCACATTGTGGCTGAGCATACTGTCTATGGGGCTGGTTGGGATATTTACAGCTGCCGTCGTTACCAGTGCTGTTAAATATATCTTCAAACAAGCAAGGTAGGAGCAAACAAGGAGGAGAAAAAAATAAGCAATATGTAGATGCATACTTTAGTTTTGTAATGTGCACTTTTTTGTATATTCTGTGGATTCACAGCTTTCAAATCATTCATTTCAATATTTCCTTTCTACAGTTGCAAACTGACGACTAAATGAATTGAGCTGAATAAATACTTCCCCGAGTGTGTGAAAGACCTCGCGTCTTGCCAGATGTATGCCACATTTAATGTTGTTATTCATTTAGTTGCCTAACTCAGATCAAAAGTTGTACAAATACTGTATATCGTGTTGCAATATGTTTACACGTTGCTTAATTCCATCTGTCTAATACAGATTCATGGCAGAACTGTGTGCAAGTATCGTATAGGAGTGTGAACGTGTTAGAATGATTCAATGAATTAAACTACAGTGTATTTCGTTGTCTTATAGAAACTTGGGATATGACAATAGCAATTCCACATTCGGTCTGTTGTCGGGCTTGATTCAGTCACCCACCTATTTTGGGTATGTATACATTTCTTAACGCTATAGTTCAATGTGTACTGATGTAATCAACGATGTCAGCGACCCTGACCACCTGATTCCAGAAGCTGCATGACAGTAGCACATAAATGTAAATTACTCTGTATGGTAATGATCAAATGTAAAAGTAAAATGTCAGTTTGCATTAGCATATGCACATGATGTTGAACTACCTTGTGATACAAAAATGTTAATGGTGGTATATCCAAAAGAACAATGCCATTTAGGCGTTTGTTGGGGTGGGGTAAATGGAGGGCTGGGATTTTGTATTAAGATTAGATAACGTTTTTCAGATTAAACCTAAGAGTCTCGATATTTATTTAAATTTCACAAAAGACACCTTGCAACAAAGATTTTTTTGTCACAGATGTTTGCATGTTTCTCACCAGCTGGATGCACATGTACCTTTCGGAAGATAAACACTTCCCCGCTCAACACACACACACACGCACGCACGCCAACCCTTGAATATGAAATCGTCAACCCCTAAGGGGCATGACTGATTCTTGTAAGAAGATATTGCTCGGTTATTATTGGCTGGAACAACAAACAAATTTCTCTTCTTTGAATGACAATAGCGTGTCTTTGATTTCGGTGATAATGCTACCACAATTGTCTGCATATTTAATCATAAATAATAAATGTTTTCAATTTCACAGGTCATTCATTGGCCCTCTATTGGGTGGTGCTCTGACAGAACATTTTGGATTTGCCTGGGCCATGACATGGAGCATCCTTGTGATTATGTTACCGGTAAGTTAACATATACAGTATAGAATTAGAGTGAGGGACAGTATGGTTTTCGGTTTGACGAGCGCTTTCACCACTAGGTAACCCCATCGCCCCACATAGAATTAGAGATTCGGTGTCCAATATTGGTACAATTATAAGGGATGATTCTTTGTCTCCACAAGGGTCCCTGATTTCAACATTGGGATAAACATTATCAGCTTCTTCCTTCATTAGAAGTTGATTCGCTGTTAATGATAAATTGCAAGTAATTACATTGTTGATTGACTGACCAAGCACTTTTTTGCTAGTGTTTTCATAAAACAAAACAGACATAGATCACGCCAATGTAGGGGGGGAAATAATCAAAAACCAGCGAACAGGATTTTCTGTATATCTCTCCATAAATACAAAGACACATCGGAAGTAAGTCCTTAAATGTAACGTGTGTCTTTTACTCATTCAACACAAATTTGCCTTGTTCAGTCGTCTATCCTCTTAGCATTTAATATGAATGATAATGAATAAATTGGCGAAGTGAAAGTCCTTCATCTAACCCTCTGTTACTTTCAGCTGCTACTGTGTTGTACACTGATCTGCTTCAGATCGTGGCATGTATGGCAACCGTCGATTCTAAAGCAAGACAACTACGTAACACTGGAAGGAAATTAGCACCAAATGGACTTTTGTCGTCTTTACTTTATATTGGATTGGATTGGTTGGTTGGTTATTTAACGCTGCACTCAGCAATATTCCAGCTATATGGCGGCGGTCTCTACACAATCGAGCCTGGATCAGACAAGCCAACAAGAGCATCGATCTACGTAATTGGGATACGATGACATGTGTCAGCGATCCTAATATTGGATTCCAACAACCACAAGATTGTCAACATTTAACCGTGTACCTGTACACATTCTGTACAGCTCACATGCCAATGTGAGGGTCCTTGAAGAGGAGGAGGGCACCTTTTGAGTTCTTCAAGGCTAAACACATGGTTCAATGCAAATCTGGCCTATGTCAACATCCCGACGACAGTCAAGACGTTTCGGAACATTGAGATCAATTTGTATGTTCCGTAAACCACGTTTAAACTGTATAGTTTTAGGCTGTCGTTAATTTGTAAGTTGGGTTTCAGTAAGAACAGATTAATGAATTATTGTCAGATATTACTATCCAGAGTTTATTTATATTTATATATAACCTGTACACGTAGCAATTGTACTTTATCCTCTGGATGAAGCGGCGGGAAGGTAGCCCAGTAGTTAAAGCGTTCACTCGTCACGCCGATGGCTCAGGTCCATTCCCTAGATGGGTACTATGTGTGAAGCCCATTTCTGGTGTCCCCAGCCGTGATATTGCTAGAATATTGCCATAAGCGGTGTAAAACTAAATGCACTCACTCATAAATCACTACATGTCAGCATCACTGTTTGAATAAATATGAACTTTGGTTTAGCATAACTTCAGTGTGGACACTACACATTTTATCTCATGTGTCGCTACAGCTCAGTAACATCTTCTGTAACACCGTAACGTTGCCTAGCGTCAACCTGATCAGGGCGAGTTTCTCTATGTTTGGCTGGAATCGAGCATTGTTGTGCGACTACAAGTGGACCAAACAGGTGAATGCCTGATACATCCTCTGTAGACATGTCTCCAAGATAATGATTGGCAAACACGGTGTGTCGGATTTCCCAAAACACTACAAGTGGACCAAACAGGTGAATGCCTGATACATCCTCTGTAGACATGTCTCCAAGATAATGATTGGCAAATGGTGTCCGATTTCCCAAAACAGCCTTCCATGATGGATGATAATGAGCAATTTCCATGATAATGAGCAATTTCTCTTGCGAGTGTCGACGCTAAGGCGCTAACTTCGTGAGGGTTAGATGCTCTCTAGGTGGAACCAATCCTGCTACTTTGTAAGCTTGTAGAATGACAGCTCTGATCCAACATAAGATTGTGGTTCGAGAGACTTCAATAGTCGTGGCGGGTGATAGTGGAATGAAGAGACATTTAAACCTTCTCCTTCTTGTAGCAGTCCTTTTTAACTAGATTTTAAAAAATCTGACTGGGCATAGGGACAAGTCCTCTGTGTCTCGTTGTTCGAGAACTGATGACAATGCTGGTACATGATATTGGCAATCTAGTTGACCAGGTAGTTGATTCTTAGACATAAAGTCCCATCATAGTCCCAGGTGGACTTCAGCATGTTCTCCTGTGTAGAATCACGTTCGACGAAAGTTAAGCGCATGCATTTCTGACATCCTTGCTGCTGTAGCTAAGGCGAGGAGATATATTGTATACAAGTTAACAACTCAAAAGTTGTCTCTCTTAAAAGTTCGTAGTCCTCGCTGGTGGGATGTTGCAGCGCTATATTGAGAAACACGGCTGGGGATCTAAATTACTGCTCCCAGTAGAGTTCAGGTACTTTGGTCAGTTTAACTCCCGTGTACATCGTGCTAATTGAGCTGATCGCCGCCAAATATGTTGAGAGTTTAGATCCTTCCAAATGTCTAGTCTCTAACTGCTGAACGGCGTGAGTAGCTGCGCAGATATATGCTGGCTGCTAACCTGAGGGTTCGTGAACCCTAGTAGAAACAGTAGGCGCCGAGTAGTGTTGACTGCTACTATAGGTCCAGGATTCGCGCAGGTGTCTAGTAGCTCTCAGCTGACACAAATATTCTAAGGATGTGTAGCTTCCACGGCTGAAAACCCCTTGCTTGTAGGAAACTTGTCGAACTCCTCTACTCGTCATAGTAGAGGTTCCGAGTTGATCATCTAATGCCGTCAAGGCATTCTTGAACGATGTAGTCTCACTGAGAGACTTCGTTGGTCTGGTACATCTAGATGAATGAGATGATGATGGTGTCCTTGATCAAGGATAATCTACAACATTATATAGTCTCCCTGCTGCGATGTAAAAGATTTCTTAGACCACGCAGATGATCTCTTTTTCCAAATCAGCCTCTGTAGTTCCGTCTCCTCCCAAACAGCTCACGCTCACTCAGAACATGTAGCTGTCTCTGTAAGAGCGATAGAGACGGGAGACGGGAGAGACACCAAAATTTTCATACAGCTCATACTCACAACCAGATGTCTGAGAGCCACCCTTATATGCAGCTACCCTGCTGTCACGCCTGTTTTCCTTGTGCAAAAAAGTGCCAACAAATATTTATAAAATTGCACTTGTGATAAGAGTGCACAATTGTTGACACAGGAAACACACTCAGGGTGAGGATCAGCCGCTGACATAGGTAGCCTGCATTGTTTACATGCTACCATGTGTAGACAGTCATCTAAAATGGAGTGTGAAAAATCTAAATACAGTTTATTGCCTTAGTTTGAATTGCTAGGCCAAAATAGGAAGGATCCATAGTGACCGCCCAAATGTCTGCTTGGCCGATGAAGGAGAAGAGTGATGAGAGCTAGGCTCAGGTCACGTGGGAACGATTTGGCGGGAAAAGGGAGGCTAGGCTACTCTGGGTGAGTGATATTACAATCGCTTCAGAAAATTGAAAAGGATTAAAGTTTCCACTTAGCCGTCGAAAGGAGAAGGGAGATAAGCAATACGCATCAGACAGGATAAGGATAAATAAAATAATTTGCAAAAATGAATGTAACTGCACAAATGACAGAAAATATTGTTTCAAATGAGAAAAAATGCAAACATACGTCTTGCAGACTCACACCTCTGAATTGTAAACTTCAATAAAACATATTTCACAAATGTGTTCTTTAATCAAAAGCAATGTCCCACTAATACAAAATATATACATATTACAAACATTATAAGTTAGGGTGGTTGATGGGAAGGAAAAAGATGTATTAACAAGCCTAAATCACTGGATTGTTGGGTTAATCTGTAATGTTTCCTTTAGATAACGACCATCACTTTTTGTTGGCCCATATGTTTACACAACCTATAGATAATCCTTGACGAAGTTGACAAAGAATGAAACATGTTTTATTCTTACAATGAAACATTTTGGTAAAGATGTTTGTAACTCAACACAACCTATTCCTCCTTTAAGACAGGGTTGGCAATGAATGGAACATTTTATATGCTTTCAAAGCAACATTTTGGTACAGATTGTTGTACCTATCACGTGATTAGTTTTTGCTGATGCTACAGCTTCAAAAATGCAACTTAAAGATACAACCTCTTTCTGTCCTGTGCTACAGATCTCAATTAAGGGTGTTGATATATTTCACATAGGAGTTGGACATAACCTGGCGGATCCAGAGGTGGAGTACAGAGCTGACAAACCAAGAACCATGATCAGTGTTCACCGTCACAATGAATAAATGATTTGTTTATAGTTTCACGCTACATTCCTGCTGTATGGTAGCGGTTTAATGTCTGGACCAGACAATCCATTGATCAACATCATTTGCATCAATCTGTGCAATTCTGAGAGCTTGTCAGCAGGTCTGACCACACGATCCTGAGAGCTTGTCAGCAGGTCTGACCACCCGATCCTGTTGGTCAGCTATTAACACAAACATGGGTTGCTAAATATATGAAGCATGACATTAGAACTGCAAATAAGCAAGAATAATGAGGTCATACAGAGCATAAAAGTTTAACATCAAAATTTGCTTATCTAAAATCTGTATCACGCTGCTTACACTTAAATTTCCATCACTACAAATAAATACTCCACCTCACTAGTCCCTGGCTATCAACAGAGGATAAATGTGGATGAAAATCTCATAGTTATTTATCATGGCCTCATTGGAACAGCTCAAAGTGAGGTGAAAAAACTTTGAAGCTGTTGTAGTTAGTTGTGATCAGACATGCAGGATATACATTCTGAGACTTATGACAAATGTCTGCATCATGTGCAGATTTGAAAGACCTTGCTTCTGTAGTCTGTACACTATTGCTGGTGAGAAAAGTGTGTATCAATACCATATAGTACTGTCAGAAGCAAGTTGCTTCTGGAGATAAAACATAATCATGAGATCACTTCATGGTTATTCTCAATGCATATTTGTAGCTAAGGCACACAACAATGTCTTAAATGACGCTGACTGAACTGATGAGTTACTGATATGAACCACCACTGTTTGAGGAGTACTAATACTCACTCTGGCAGGGTTCAACAAATATTCTAGTCCAGCAGGCAAAGGAACTTACAGCAATTATACCACAGAGATAGACTGACAAGAAGGTCAAACTGATACGTCAGTCTTCTAATGTGTCAGTTGTCAGCAGAACTTAAAGAACGGAGGATGTGATCAAACTGAAAACGAAACAAACAGAAGAAAGAAAAAGCAAAAAAAAATTTCAAAACTACTTTTCAAAACAGCATAGCTAATCAATGTTGGATCAAGGAAACTTGCACCATTGACATCCTGTTTAACCATTGAATAATAACATTTGTTGAACCCTGGGGGCAAGTGTACACTTCCATGTGTAAGGCAATAAGGCAAAAGGCTTTCAAGCAAAGTATTTCTTTTGACTTGTTGACATCATGGAGGCAAAGTTTTCGAGACACAAAAAACCAAGACAAAAATAGAGACAAGAAGGTTCACAATCTTTCAATGTAATACATTTCCTCAAATGTATAAAACCTTTCCACCTTTTCTTATCCAGAAATGTTCCTCCCAAAATGGTAACGACATCGCACTTATAACATACAAACACAGTAAAACCTTGTTGACTCAAGACTAATTTCCTTATAATCAGGAAAAGAACATTAATAATAATCCAAAGGAACATTACTTCAATGGACAATTCATGGATCCAGAATTTGTTAGTCCATGAGGATTCACTAGTAAATGGCAATACCAAAATATGTAGTCCACAGACATCCATAACAAAACATCAGAGAAACTGACATCCATGTATCAATATCAGGCAAGTTAAATTTGCAGTAATCCAAATGACACTTTCAAAAAGAAGTTTTGAGTAGAAATAGTTGCTTACATGAAAACAAATCTAGTCATACTTATGGAGGCACACCATGAGAAACTGTTTTCTTTAGCATACACTGCACACCCACACCACTTTGATGTGAAGCACGCAAGACAAAATAGAGGTACAATGTTTCATTCAAGGTTACTGCACTTGTATAGCATGACTTGAGTGTGTGAATGCTTGTACCAGGCCAGACAAATGAATGTTTAACTGTACTAACCATACTTCGGACTTTGAAGCAAGGCTCAGTTTACAGACTCAGAGCCAACCACTCACTCATGCCAAGCATGGGCACAATAACAGTCCTCATCTCATAATTCCAACAAAAGTACAGAGCATAAAACTTGCCTCGTCTTACCCCAATTAACATTCACAAAGGTGAAATGGTCTGAGAAGGCACATAAACAATATTTACAAACTATGAATTGAAGAGAATTTCTCAATGATTAACCTTGATATTCTCCAGTGAGTTGGGTTTAACACCACCATGGTACTTCAGTAAAATCACAGCTGAGGAGGAAAAGCTGAAGTGATGGAGGGCTTAGATGTTGAGCACATGATTATAAGTGAAATAGCTTTGTCAGTGTATGAAATAAGGCCCGTCCGACCGCCCGAGACGGGTTAGATTTCAGACGGACGGTCTAGATTTACAGCTAGCCAGCCTGATGGTCTGGTAAAAAATTGAGATGTTACATACATGAGTCATATCTTGGTGTCTGGTCTTGTTAAATCCATTTTGGACTGGTAACATTTTGAAGTTACCAGCCCTGATGTCTGGCTGGGGTTTTGGCTTATTTCATACACTGGCTTTGTGCAAGAAACTGGAGAAAACTTTGAATTGAACAACTAATGGCTAATTATCAATACATTACATCTACTAAATTAACTTCTTTAAGCAGTGTAGGTTTTCCAACAGCAAAAACATACCCTTTGACCAAGCACAAATGTTCATGAGAATAACGTCACTTAAGACAAAATGATTTCTTGCTTGTACAAACATCATATCTCCCTGATCACTTGTGTAAAGTCACCTATGATGAAAATCTCTACTGTCAATGACATGTTTTGTTAACAAAATATTCTGCTACTTTGTCAAAATTTCTTGCAAGAAATCAACATACATTTGTAAGACTGAGTGTGTCTTACCTATCTGTATTCATCTACTCAGTGACGCACAGGTTGCTTGTTCAATGCTTCACGATGTGTCATGGAAGAAACATGTAAACTTTAAAACATTCCAAATTCCAGTAAGAAGCCAAGGTGTGTTCTCTTCAAGAAAATTATAACCATATATTCACTAATTGCTTAGTTCCTTTCCAACTGAACTTGTAACAATGTGACAATTATTTGCATCTGTTGTCTGCCTGTGGAAGCATCAGTAAGGCACCTGGTGCCTCCTCTGCTGATACTGTTCATTTAGTTTCTGATTTTTCTGCTGCTGCATCCTCTGAAACCTAGGAGGAAGATCATCTTTGTTAAAGTTACGATGACTTCCGTCTCTCTTTTGACCTTCCCTCTCGTTTCTATCTCTTCCTCGACTAGCTCCTTGTTCAAAGTCTCTGTGATAATCTCTTCTGCCTCTGCCTCCCTCCCTTTTCAGCCCCCTGCCTCTGTTTCGTCCCTGTCCACCTCCGCCTCGTGCCCGGAACTCCTTCCTGGGTGCAGGCTCTTCTACGACATCAACTACCTCAGTTTCCTTGTCCCAATCTTCCTTCTCCTCTTCCTCATCTCGGGAGGGATTCACTATTCTTGTTTCGGTTCGGACTTCTTGTTGCTGTTTCTTCTAAATAATTGAAAGAGAAAAAATGTCATTCAAATAAAATTTCCAAAACTTCAAAATCATTGAAAAGCTGCCTAAAATAAAGAAACAATGTTTCTTGCATGAGATTTTGCTGCAGAATTTTTTCGTCTTAAGAACAATACAAAAACTTGTGTCAGCATGTGTGCCTGTGGCTTAAAAAAACAAACAAACCAAGAATATGCTGACATGAATCCAAGGTAACTTTTGAGAGTTGTTAGGTAAGTTCTACTCATTTCTTGCAATGGCGATATCTTTTCATTACTAAATATCTGAAGGAAATTCTACTTGCCACATATTCTTTGTACTTCTCCTTGATTTCTCGACCAACTCTCTGGTAATCATGAAACAACATCACAACTTTGTCTCTCAGCTTTTGTGTCTGATCCCATTTGCGGTCACGAAGGATGACATTAAGCATGTCGAGCACTTCATCCATTCTGAGAAGTCAGTCGTGACACATCAAGAGCCTGGTCAGGGTAGTGTTCTGAAGTGAAGTTCTGGTCTCGTAACTTTGTTTTGGCAATAAACTTCCTCATCTCTGGGACCTTCTTGGCAAAGAAGTCATCATATAAACGTCTAAATCCCTCAAACTGGAACTTCTTTTGGATATGTTCAGTTGTTGTCCTGTGGGACTCCAATGGTGTGGAAGATTTTCCTGGGCTCGACATGCCCCTTCCTCCAAGGCTCATTGACAAAAATGAGTCTGGACTGTGTCTTCCCATGGCCTCCTCTGCATCTGTCATCTCTTCCTCCAAATCCTTCATGGCAAGTTCTTCTGTCTGGAAGGGTGTTCCACAAACTCCGCACATTTTCTTAGTCACTTCAAAAGGAGCAAAGGTGTCCTTTATTTCTTGAGACAAGCACATCCTGATAAAGTTGCCAGATTCCAATCTATCTTTGAAGGTCAGCCACCTGAAGAATCGCTGCAGTTTCTTGGTTGCTTTGTCTCTCCTAAGATTCTCCTGATATTGTTTATTCTCTTCAAGTTTTTTCTGAGCCTCCTCTGGCGTGAGACCCAGTTCTTCCTCCTCCTCTTCAAAGTTCAGAGGCATCTCATTTCCAGACTCCATATTCTCTGGGTCAAACATGTGAAATCCTACAGAGAAGCTATCCAGGTTGGGTACTTGTTGGAACTGGGCTCCCTGTCGTCTCTGGTTGTCCCACTTCCAGTAACAGGACAAGAGGAACTCATCCTCTCTCTGCAGAAGAAGGTCCCTCAGAACAGCCACAATGTCAGCAATACCTCTTGACCGTTTCACTGCTTGGAGGCACTGCGTCAGTCTACAAGGAGCATCGTCAGGAAGACTCAGTTTCATGATAGTGGACATGAGTTGACTTTCCAGGTCAACAGGAACAAATGACCCGACATTGGTCAGGAGAACTAATGCCAGGACAAGCAGTCGCTCTGCTTGAAGATATTGTATGTCCGCTCCTTCCTTTCTTGGTTTGAAGATCATACTTAGAAGATTCATTCTTGACCCACACAGCATGCCTACTATCTGTACAAAGCGATCCTTAACGATTTGAAGGTTGTCTCTCCTGTCATATATTGCGTGAACCAACTCCTGTATTCTGATGTCACCCTTTGTAAAAGTAGCATTTACTAATGGGATGGTAGCAAGATAGGTTGCTGGGAGAACAAACTTCATGGTGCCTGGGGAGAGTTTTGCAATGCAGAAGAAGGAAATACACACAAAGACCTCCTGCCAAAACAGGAACAGTGGCATCTTTGGGAATACAGAAAGCCTGGCCCGATCACCCATAAGTTTGACAAACTTTGCATATTCCATTATGGCCTTCACTGGACTGTCTTGCAACCACTGATGCACATCAAAGAATCTTCTTCCTATACAGACTACTGTTAAAGTACGGTGATGGAAATCTGCTTTGAGAGCATACTTTCTGCGCTTATCCAACCATCTTGGAGTATGCTTCATCAGATCACCTTCAAGCTGATAACAGTACTTCTCAATATCTATTTTCAACCTAAAGAGTGATGAAAAGAGTGTTGCTCTCACAAACCAGTCTGTGCTTTTTGATCTTTTTTCTAAGGTGTCAACGATGTTCTTTTCTGAAAATTTCCAAGAGTTCTCTAGAAATCTTCGAACCTGAGCTCCCACTTTTCCAAACGACAACCGACTTAACAACTTCCTAATGACAGCATCATTTTCAGTGAGATTCCTCAAATGATGATGTTCTGGGATCAAGAAGTCCAACAGCCTCTCACAAGAATCAAATCTTGTTGATTCATCGATTAAAGAGTTGATTCGCTTGTACAGGTTTTTCATTTCAGTCTCCAAACCTGTAATCTTGATTCCTTTAATGGTAAGAGCTCCAGATTGAAGAATACTGTCCAGGTTGACTTCCCAGAGCAGTGCCTCCAGAGCGTTGAATGCCAAGTGTCTGTTGTAGTCTTTGTGTAGGTAAGGGCAGTATTCTTCGTCGGGACACACTTCTCCTTCCATGTGTGACTTACACTGGAGTCGTTGAGAGACATGACTCCTGAGAGAATCTCGGCTGGAGTTGATCCAATTTTTCAACATGTCTGCAAGGTGAAAGCTGAGCATCACACATATCTTCTTCTTTTCCTTTTCAACAGATGGCTGTTTCTTCTCCTGCTTGTTGGCATAGAAGTCCGGAATAATCCTGACACATCTGGGTTTCTGCTTTGGGTAGACGATCAGAGTGTTGACATCCTTCTCATGTAGCCCATAGAACTGCAAATACAGCTGACATCTAGCCTTCTCCTCGTTTGATGTTGGTTTCAACAGAGCTTTCATCACATTGAACAAGGAGTCAACACCACGGACAACAGCCTGCATGTCAGCAAAAGCTTCATCCATGAGTGACATGTCCACAACAAGATCTAGGGACTCCAGCATTCCAGCTTCATTAGCAAATGGTTTGACATTTTGGAAATTATGAAAAGCTTTCTTTGCAGTTTCTAGGTCAATTTTTAAGCTAGCCAGAGCCAAACAGGTAATCCCAACGCTGTCAACTTTGTCTACCGACATGTATGCATCACGGGCACTAGTGAGGTGCTCCAAGATTTTTTGTTGGTCAAATCCTTCTTTCGAGGACATGAGAGCCAGGGCCTGGGCGTAGTGGCAGTCCCCAAGAACATCCTGGTCATCTCCTTGCAGAGCAAAGTCCAGTGCCTTCTCACACTTCCCATGCTGAAGCATCATGCGTGCTGCTTCAGTTGTCTTCCCTGCAAAAGATTCAGAACCATTAGTAAACATGTGAGAGAGTAGTGTGGAAATGCTCAAAAATAAATATTGTGCACAACACACTCTAGGATCAAGTGCCTAATTTTTTATTGCTAAGTATAAGGATTTCTTTAGTCATTTTTAGTTCTGGTTGGCAGGTGGGAAACAAATTGAGAAAACATCACCGAAACTAGTGACACATTTCAGTTGGATATTTTTTTCAAAAGGTTACTATACAGCCAGTGTTAGTGTAATGATTGACCATTCTCATCTCTGCATTAATTTGGCTGCATGAGGAAGTAAATTTGGTAAAGGAGCCATCACTAAGAAACCATTTCTAATAAAATATAGTTAAAATGGGATGAAGTAAGGGAAATAGCTTACCATCCTGTACAAGTATTGTTGCTGCTTGCTCCACATAGGACCGCTTTGTGAGGAAGTCAAGTTGGTCTGCAACTCTAGGCAAGCGTTCCAGGGCTTCCACCATCTTGGCTTCATTCTTGTACTTGTGGTAGAAGTTGGCTGCCTTGTAACTCAGTCTGGCTACAGTGAAGCTTATGCCTGGCTTGTTTTGAAAGGAGTGCACGTGGGACCTCTTTCCCTTTCCTCTCCAGCTCCTGTAGTATTGAAGATTCAATCTATCTAAGTGTTTTGTTTCCAAATGGATGAAACACATGTGAAACATGTTTGGTTTGGATTTCGGGAAAGAGAGTGCTATTATGTAAAAAATGTAATTTTCTTACTAAAATTGATATTTTATGCTTATCCTGACTCATGCTAATTATGCTTGTCCCCTTCCTCTTGCAAATGATAGTGGAACACTTGAAATCCCTTGAAGTTCCCTTCTAAAAAGTCGGACGTAAAATCACTCACCCACGAGTAGCATCCCTTTCCTCCCTTTTGGCGCCCAAATGGTCACATGATCGGCCATATTTGTCACTCTCTCCATATGTAAGCTCGACACCCTGATTTACAGGGAAATCCAGAGTGCCATAAGAGGGGAGGTTCGGAGGGCTAACCTCATGAGTCAGGATAAGTATAAAAATGTAATTTCTTCAGTAAAATTGACATTTTATACTTATCCTGACTCATGATCTTTTGCTTATCTCCCTTTCCCTTTCGAATGGTAGTGGAACACTTGAATCCCTTGAAGTTCCCGAAGCAGACGTATAAATACACTCACCCACAAGTTACAACCCATAGATTATGATAAGATCTTTATCATAAATGAATTGCGACACCTTTACGTACAGGTAAGATCTTTACCTGTACAGGATCTTTAATCACTCATGCTAGCCTGTCTTAGACTGTGCGCATGGACTTTCAAACTAGTACTTTTCCTTAGTAAAAGTTATCAACAAGTCAAGTGATAAAGGGTGAGATTTTCCAACTCAGCGCCTTTGAGGAACCGTTAGTTGCTGTGCTACAACGAGAGGCCCAAATTGGTGAATGCCTGAGACGTCTTCAGTGGCTATGTCTTGGAGGTAGTGGTTGGCAAACACCGTGTCCGATTTCCAAAAGCAGCCCTCCATAATTATTGGTATAGAGCAATTTCCTTGCAGAGCTAGTGTTGACGCCAGTGCTCTGACTTCGTGTGGGTTGAAGCTCTAGGAGGTTCTAGTCCTGCTGCTTTATAGGCTCTCAAAATAACGGCTCTCATCCAGAACGATATGGTCGTTCTTGAGACTTCTGCTGAAGTCTCTGTTGATAATGGGATGAACAGGCGCTTGAATTTTTGTCTCCTCTTCAAGTCTTTTGAAGATATATCTTCAGGGCTCTGACTGGACACAAAGATAAGTCCTCTATATCCCATGGACCGAGGACTGTAGACAGCGCTGGTATGTGGAACTGTCTATCTGGTTGACCAGGTAGCTGGTTCTTGGCAATAAAGACCCATCTAAGTCCTAGATGAACTGCATTATGTTGCCCTCTGTCGAATGTGGTTCGACCAAAGTCCAAGCGCATGTATCTCCGATATGCAAGCTGCTGTGGCTAACGCAAGCAGGAACAGCATCTTCTGTGTTAGCAGCTCGAGTGTAATCTGATCTAGTGGTTCGTAGACATCACTGGTAAGATGACGCAGAATTACATTTAGATCCCAGGCTTGAGCTCTGAATTTCTTTTGCTGGTCCTCCAGCTTAAAAGATCTCAGCAGAGCAAGTAATTCTGGTACTTTTGTCAACTTGATGCCTGTTTTCATCGTAATCACTGTACTGATAGCAGCGAGGTATGTAGATAGTGTCGAACCCTTCAGATGTCTGGTCTGTCTAAGATGACACAGATATTCCGCCACTTGAGGATGAGTGGTTATCATCGCTGTGAAGCCTTTCCGCCTTGCATAAGTCTCAAACTTCAGCCATTTGTCATCATATAGGTTACGAGTAGATCTGCGTAACGCTAGGGTTACTGCCTTGGCTGCCCTGGCGGAGTATCCTCTTTTCTTCAAAACATGTTTTGATACGGTCCACACGTGTAACTGGAACACTGTTGGGTTTCCGTGGACTTGCTTGGTTTGCGGATGTATTAGTTGGTTCGGCCAATCTGCTAATTTGATTACTGGGTTTCCGAGATCTTCTATTAGGTCTGGGAACCATGCTCTCGCTGGCAAATAGGGCGCGACCAAAGTCAGTGGTAGCGTCTGAGTCTGTTTGATCTTGAACAGTACTTTTGGCAGTAGTATTGGGGTTGGAAAAGCATAGCCGTTTAATCCTTCCCACGACATGCTCAGTGCATCTGTTGCCCAGGCTTGAGGATCTGGAACTGGTTAGACAAACATCTGTAGTTATTTGTTGAACTTCGTGGCAAACAGGTCTATGCAAGGGGATCCTATGTCCCTTATGTTCCGAAATGCTTCTGGATGGAGCATCCTTTCCGTAGGTGACGGGTGTAGTGGTCTTGAGAGAGCGTCTGCCAGTACGATCTTGGCTCCAGGTATGTGACACACCTTTATCCAGATGTTTGCTTTCTGCGTGATCTGGAACAACTGGAATGTGAGCTGCAACAGGCTTGGAGACCTTGTGGATCCTTGCCGGTTTATGGAGAACGCCACTGTGGAGTTGTCCGTGTGGATCATCAGCATTTTGTTGTTCAGCAAGCTCGACCATAGTTGTTAGGCGTTGATCACTGCTTTCATCTCTAGCAGATTGATGTGAAACTGCTATTCCATTTTGGACCACTTTCCCGACGCGACTTGATCGTTGAGATGCACACCCCATCCTTGCATCGAGGCGTCTGCATATAGATGTGTGTCAAAGGCCAGCTCATGTAAATAGGTCCCTTCGCAAACGTTCGACCTGTGTGTCCACCACAGTAGATACCTCTTGAGGTTTTCCGGCAGCAAGATAGGGTCAACGCTCTCTAAATGTTTTATCAGGAACCGTTGCAGCGGTCTTAGTTGTAACCTTCCTGTGCGAGTCAAGTCCTGCGCCGAGGTTAGCAGACCGAGTAGAACTTGCCATGATCGTAGTGTTAACGGAGAGATGACTGCTGGCAGAATCATGGTTTGTATCTTGACCAAATGATCCTCTGGGACGGCAATACAATTCTCTGTTGTGATAAACCTTATCCCCAGGAATTGTAGATCTTGTTTCGGTTCCAACTCTGACTTCATAAGGTTCACCAACCATCCTAGTTGAGTGAGCAACTTGATTGTTAAGCTCAGTTGTAGTTTGAGTAGACTGGCATCTTGGTGAACCTGAATTCCGTCGTCCAAGTAGAAGGCATTGCGTAGACCTCGATGATGTAGGTATGCGACTATAGGCTTGGTTATTTGTGTGAATATCCACGGAGCCGAAGATATTCCAAACGGTAGGACGTTACATTGGAAGTGCTGCCCTCTGAATAGGAACGTAGATACTTTCTTGATTCCTGATGTATCAGGATGTGAAGGTACGCATCCTGCAAGACTATGCTGGCTATGTAATCTGCTGGACGGATGAGTAGTTTGAGTTGAGTTGATCATTCTGAACCTTACTGGTTTCAGTAAGTAGTCTTTGTTGAATCTGCGCATGTTGTAAATCAGTCTGAACTTCTCCTTGGAGTTCTTCTTGGGTACTAGAAAAATGGGGAGTAGAAGCCTGGAGTGAGATGATTCTGATCTATTATCGCTACCGCCTCTTTCATAAGTAGTGCGTTGATGGTTTCTTGTAATTTATCTGCCTGTTCCTCTGCATAATTGTAGACCATCGGGCTGAGGGTTAGCCGAGGTGTGGCTTTTAGTTGTACTTTGTATCCTTCTCTTAGTAGTCGTCCTCTAGTATTCCCCAATTCTTCCAGTACCCTTGTAGACGTCCACCCACTGTCGATAGTTTTACAGGAACGGCTGGGGATGGAAGACTCCAGTCGTTCCGAACCCTGATATCAACGTCCAGTTCCTCTGGAAGCTCTGGGGCCGCGGCCTCTTCCTGAGTTTCCTCTGTAATTTCCGGATGGGCGACGAAAGGAGTCTTTGCCACCCCTGAAGCTGCAGTACTTCTTGTCCTTTGCTTTCTGTATTCCGGAATACTTGGACTTGTTGTTATACTTCTGAGAAGTATGGCGGATGACGTTGGCCAGAGTATCTATGGTTTTAATCATCATTACTTCTCTGGTATCATGCGTAGCTTCCTTAGCTGCATCGTCTATTAGACCTCCAAATATAGTAGGCGCCTCCCATGAAGCTCTTAGTAGTGGTTGAGTAAATCTATCATTCCAAGAGCTGGACGCCAGTAGTCCCTGTCTGCGTACTAAGGTGAGTCCCGCAGATATTGATGTGAGATGGTCCGACAAAAAGTATTGATCCTTCTTTTGTGTAACGAGGGCTGAGTATATCATCTTATCCTCTTCCTAGTTGAATTCTGGAATTTATTTATCAATGCTTCATTGATGGCTCTGGACCTGGCCAGTCCGAAGAAGGATCTCCTAGAAGCCGTATCTAGTTGAGATAGCTTTTTGTCATCCACTTTTTACATCTTATTCCGGGTGTCATTCACAAGTTTGATTTTATCATCCCAATCAGGAGCCTTCATAAATGGATCCATATGGTGTATGGTGAATCTCTTCTTATTAAATGATGGTAGTTGCTGACTCTGATACTTGGAAGCCTTCGCGAAGGCTGTGCGTACGTTGGAGGGTACGCTGGATATAGGTTCAATCGGAGGGATTGTGACGGAGTCGAAAGTCATCATTGAGCATCATATAAGGTGTAGACTTCATCTTTATCACTAGAAGGAGACTCCAAGTTCAACCCATTAGCAATCCATGCTGTAACTTCTGAGTCTGGGAAGACGAAGTCCGTTTGCAAGTCCGAAGTCTCCTGATAATGAGAGCTAGGTGGTCTCGACGATTCATCCATCTGCGAACCTGTTTCCCTTCTCGAACCCTCATCCTCTTTTCGCGAACCTCTATCTGAAGATTCCTCCCTATGCAAACGTCTATCTTGAGAGTGTTCTGTCCGCGAACCTCTATCTGTGGACACATCTCTTCGCGAACCTCTGTGAGGTGAGCTATCTCTTCGCGCGTCTGGCTTGAGGTGAGTAGCTTCGCGAACGTCTGTGCGAGATAAGAGATCTCGACCTAGAGCGGCTAGGTGTAGGAGCAAGATCCTTCGATGTTCTCGAACGTTGTGGATTTGCAGACGTAGATTTGAGAGTAGGTAAGTCATCTCTTCTATCCTCCAAGATGACAGAGTCGTCCGACTGTGGAGACCTTCGCAAAGGTGTACGTTCGCCAACGTGGCCTTGAGGTGTAGATCTAATAGGAGTAGATTCGCGCAGGCCTGTGGGTTTGCGCACGGTGTCGGTAGATGAGAGGCTTTTCCTAGCCTTCGATTCCTCCTGGAATCTACGTTCCATCATGGCCATCATATGGTTGGTGAATTGAGTCATAAATTCCCCTGGGTCAAAGTTCTGCATAGGTTGACGCTGCTGCAGTGTAGGTGAAGCGTTCGCGAACGCTGATGGGTTTGTGCCTCAACTTCAATCCGAGAAGTAAGCGGTAGTATGTCGAACATCTGTCCTGCTGTAGTAGGGGACGATCTCGTAGTAGTAGAGGTCGACTGAGTCGCTTATCTCATAGATACTTCAGGTAGAAGTAATGGGGGTTCGTCAAAAATGTCTAGTTCGTGAGGAGGTACAATCTCTTCGTTGAAGGATTTATGGTGCGTAGATGAGCTAGCAGGCGTAGCTTTGCCCTCCGATCTGGTAACCGTAGACTTCTTCTGCGCTGTAGAAGAGGATGACATCTTTTTCTTAGTCTGCGACGGCATCGACTGAGATGTAGACAATCTCTTCTTGGTCCCCTTACCAGCAGACTGCCCCTGTAACGTACTAAACATAGCACCAGTATTATGAACATCGGCAGTAGCAAGCAACATACGGTTTGGAGGCTGATCTGCAGTTTTATCAATCGTGACTTGAGGTGCCTTCAAACACTGCAGGATTTCATGAAATGTAAACATTACATGACGATGAAAACATGAGTTAATAAATTTTTACCAAATTTTACAAATACTACATAGTAGTTATAGCCAAATCCATATACATCGTTATTTTGAATATGATAATATGATGCCGTATACGGGATTCCAGTGCTAGCCCAACCATCCGCTTGGGCGAAAAGGGGAGACTGACAAGTAAGGCACGTCACATGACTGGTTTGCGTGGGAAAGGGTAAAGGGAGGTAACTCATGGGTGAGTGTATTTATACGTCCACTTCGGGAACTTCAAGGGATTCAAGTGTTCCTCTACCATTCGAAAGGGAAAGGAAGATAAGCAAAAGACCATGAGTCAGGATAAGGAAAAATTATCAATTTTAGTTTAACTACATATTTTTCCTTATCCTGACTCATGCTAATTAGGCCACATTCTGGATTCACTGGTTGTAGATTTACGTCCTGTATTACCCCCCTTGGGAACTTATGACGGCACTGTTGAAGATTCTGTTCTTTCAACTTCTCCCTGATGAGTCTGGGGGGACCAGAACTTGTCCGATTTGTTCCAAAACTTCTCCTGACATTTTCATGTGGATTTTAGATATCATTATTATTCCATTAGTTATCTATTGCAACTCCATCTCTTGATGGGCGCATCAAGTGGAGATGAGACCCTTCTTCATGTACAATTATGTCCTAAACAAGTACAGGGTCTATCACTCATGCTAGTCTGTCCAAGACGTTTGCATGGACATATAGCCATTGCTCTCCAGAGAGTTGGTTTTCACAAGTCACGTGATAAAAGGGGTGAGATTTACTCAGCGCCTTTGTGGAACCGTTAGTTGTTGTGCTACTGATGTGATAGGGTATGAACTACAAGTTAAAATGGAAGAGTCTCCAATTGTTACGATTTAGGTACTACCAGCTCTGTTCTGTGAAATATCCCAGACCGGTCAGACTCACCTGTGCAACCTATAGTAACAATAAACCAGTTTGAATAATATTTGTGGCATTAATATTTGATAGGGACTCATAAAAGTTCTGAGGGACTCATAGTTATTCAGCTCATGTGAGTCCCGGGACTCGGGCAGTTGAATTTGGAGATTTATCACTGTAGTCTGTCCTAGACATGTGCATGGACTTTAACAATATGCTCTCCCGGGCGTTGGTTTTCACAAGTCACGTGATAAAAGGGTGAGATTTTTCTCAGCGCCTTTGTGGAACCGTTAGTTGTTGTGCTATAACAAGTGGCCCAAACTGGTGAATGCCTGAGACCTAGCCTTCGGAGGCAATGTCTTGGCAATAAAGTCCCATCTCAGTCCTAGATGTACGATGTCTTGCTTCAAACCGTGTTCGTTCAAAGTCCAGAGCATGTATTTCTGAGATCTGTGCTGGTGTTGCTAGGGCGATCAGGAACAGCGTTTTCTGTGTCAGTAGTTCAAAGGATGTCCATTCTAGAGGCTCGTAAGCATCACTGGTGAGATGTTGTAAAACTACGATGAGATCCCAGGTAGGAGCCTTGAATTTCGTTTGTTGGTCTTCCAACTTGAACGAGCGTAGTAGTGCCAGTATCTCTGGTACTTTGGTCAGCTTGACACCCAGGCAGGTACGTTGAGAGTGTTGAACCATTTAAGTGTCTCATCTGTCGCAAATGACACAGGTATTCTGCTATTTGAGGATTGGTTTGCTTTTACCGCTGTAAAGCCTTTCCTCGTTGCATACTGTTCAAAACTCTGCCACTTGTCATCGTACAAGTTGCGAGTTGATCTGCGTAGAGCTAGTGTCACACTCCACGCACGTAGCTGGAACAATGCCGGATTCCCGTGAGCTTGCTTGGTGTGTGGATGGACAAGCAGGTTCGACCACTCTGGTAGTTTTCGGGTTGGACTTCCGAGTTCTTGTATGAGGACGGGAAACCATACCCTCGCTGGCCAATAGAGCGCGACCCAAATCAGTTGCAACATTGTCGTCTGCTTGATTTTCTGTTTTACTTGTGGTAATAGTGCTGGAGGTGGAAACGCATAAGCGTTTAGTCCTTCCCATGAGATGCTTAAAGCATCTGTTGCCCATGCCTGAGGATCCGGAGTCAGTGAGACGAATGTTGGTAGTTGCTTGTTGAACTTTGTTGCAAACAGGTCTATCAGCAGAGATCTTACTGTCTGTATGATGAACCGGAACGCTTCTGGATGTAACATCCATTCCGTTGGGGATGGTTGAAGTGGACGAGATAGGGCGTCTGCTATGACATTGTGGCATGCCTTCATGTAGATGTTCAGGTCGTCGACGATGTTGAACAGGAGAAAGCTGAGTTTAAGCAGACTTATTGACCTTGTTGATCCTTGTTTGTTGATGTAGAACGCTACTGTGGAGTTGTCCGTGTGGACCGTGAGCCCTGAGTTCCTTAGTACGCTGGAACAGTGTTGTAAAGCGTTGATCACTGCTTTCATCTCCAACAGGTTGATGTGCAGAATTGATCCTGACTCGACCACTTTCCTGCTGCCACTTCGTTGTCGAGGTGAGAACCCCATCCTTGTAGTGATGTATCCATGTAGAGATGAGTGTTGCAAGCCGGCTCTGACAAAAAGGTTCCTCCTCAAACATTTGACTTCTGAGTCCACCATAAAAGTTATGGTTTCAGACTGTCTGGTAGTATCAGTGGATCCAAACTGTCGAGATGGACATTCACAAATATTGTAGTGGGTGCAGCTGTAATCTCCCTCTGCGAGTCATGTCTTGAGCTGAGGTGAGTAGACCAAGCATGCTTTGCCAAGCACGTAGTGTCAACGGAGAGAGCATTGCTTGAGATATCATGTGTTGTATCTTGACCCAATGATCCTCTGGGACGACCGTGTGATTCTGTTGTGTGATGAGCCATATTCCCAGCGATCCTGTTTTGGTTCCAACTCCGATTAGGAGATTACTAGCCATCTACTGCAATCATGTCCTACGTTATAGGTACGTGGATCTCGGAGCCCTTGCCATGTCGGAAAGGATGCGGAGAGATGATCAATTCTGGAATCATGGCTTGAAACTTGTCTCATCAATCTTCCGGTAATATGTAATGAAGATGTTGTCACCATGATCCGAACATTGTGCAGCGATGATGCATAATATGTCGTCTCTAGGTCAGCAAAAATCTATGATGTACTGGGACTGCCATCGATGTGAAGTCTGATTATAGTCGACCGGCTGCCGTGAGCAGAACCTTCTCACGCTTGTCGCTGCAAGTCCCCAGATAACCAATATTAAATCTGCTGACAGGGGAAGTCCTCTATGACCCGTGAAGATAGTCGAACCACGCTGTACCCTGCTAACTGGACTGTAAATGGAGCCTTTCCCACATTGACGACTTCCTGGCACGTGATTGTGATGTCACCAGTGTTGCAGGAAAATGATCCTCGTAGATTGATGTGCAGTCGTTGATTTCTTCATCAACATTCAGCTTTGTCCGTAACCTCTCTGTTCAGCTTGTGCTGGAGTTACACGAGTGAACACGTGTCTTGATGGCTGAGTGGAAGCGTGCGAAAACTTTGCCACGTAGTATCGATGTAAGCAGACTGTTCCCTGTCTGTTGTGACTGTATTCTTCAACTTTATAATCTTTACTGCAGTCGTCATCTTAACAGATGTTCTGTAAAGTTGAACGTAAAATGTCTTGCTGAGGAACTGCGACAAAGCTGTTAAATGTCCCTTTGATATCTTGTAAGCCCATGTGATGAAATTTCATATTCAGTGTTTCATCGGATATTATCTGACATCGTTACTTAAGGTGTGTGTCTCTTCCTTCAGCCACGCGTTGATCCAACATAGCCAACATCTAGTTTTAGTGTCCAGTTGTGTTATCTTCTTATCTTCCATCTTGTATATCTATTACCATTCTCTTCCCACAGAGGTTACTCCTGTCATATCTTCCTACGTAACCTCTGTTCTAATACGGCCCTTTCATGGTGTGAGCGTTCAAGACTCGTGATTGGAGACAATCAGATTTAGTTGTGCAATCAGCAACGTTGTTTCAAAAGTGATCATTCGCAAGGCCTCGGTAATTTCCGTATGCTCCGAGAAAACTAAACTTTTTCCCCTGCGCGATGCGCAAACGTTTCTTCTAGACAGAACTCAGTTATGTTATGGCGGATCAAGTGGCGTCTCCATAAGCCCTCGTTGACAACGGACAAGCTAGCCATTAAAAGTCTTGTGTGTAACATCAACACAAGTCCCGGCAGATGGGGGATATTTGTGGCCCCACATTTGCTTGTGTTAGTCAAGTTGAATCTAAGTCGATGTAACAGGTGTTCTGATTGGATAGAAAGAAGGGAGATAATTTGTGTTGCGATCTTTTTTTGCGCTAGGGATTTCACGAGAACGGGAATATGGCATTATTAGAACAGAGGTTACGTAGGAAGATATGACAGGAGTAACCTCTGTGGGAAGAGAATGATCTATTGCGGGATTCACTGATGATCTTGTAATCTCAAACCCTGATGTATCATGAAGGGCTCCGTATGATTAAGGGGAAATCTGCTATCGTTGAACGGCGGAACATGGCGCAGGTTGATGACGGTCCAAGTTGGAAGATCCGTATCTGCGCAGTCTGTAGAATCCTGGAGAGCAACTGGATCTATTTCTGTGTTAGAATCCTTCCTGCTGAGACGCTGAAACTGCGTGGAGGCTCAATCGTGGACTTCTAAGGCTAAGCTGGCGTTAACTGCTGATACTTCTGACAGTAAAGATCTTCGCAAACGTAACCGTTCGTGCTGGCCTTCATCCGAGAGAGCTTATATAGCTAATATTCCTTCGCGCAGGTCGACTGTCATCGGAGGGGTCTGCTATGCTGAGCTGACATTAGTAGAGTTCTCCAGACTTCTAACTTCAGACAGTGAAGTTAGACATTCCCTTATCTGAAGATCCATAATGACGTGAGTCTCTGTATGTAGATCTGTATGTAGAGCTGCGTGCAGGTGAACGGTCCCGGTGTGACCGTGTATTCCTCCTGGAGTCTTGACATATCTCTCTAAGCCTTCACGAAGGCTGTTTGACATAATCTCCCCTCTCTCTATGGGATGATCTGTATGAAGAGCTTCGCACCCGCGCGAAGCGATGCGATCCCGATGCGATCGTGTATCCTTCCTGGAGTCTAGAGATGATTCTCTAGGTCTTCGTGAAGGTGGGTTCCTGGACATAGCATCCCCTCTGTAGGAGTGCCTTTGCGCAGGCTCTCAATGGGCGTCAGAGTTCGATGGAGATGAAGACTCATATCTGCGACGTCTGTAGGATTCGGGAGAACGCCTTGATTCTTTCCTGCGTGGAGACTTCTTAGCAGCAATCTCTGGAGCGTCTACATTGGTAGCAGAGTCCAGACTCCTCACTTCAGATGGGGAAGATCGTCGTGTCCATGAGCCTTCGCGCAAGTTTCCCTCTTCATTCGGATGTGATGGGGAGACTGTAGAGCCTTCAAGCAGGCTAGTAGTCGCTGTAGAGGTCTTCATAGCTGCCTTCTCCTGAGCGTAGCGACGTTCCATCATCGACATCATCTGGTCTATAAACTGTTGCATGAACAGTCCCGGGTTGAAGTTCTGCGTTGTCTGAAGAGACTGCTGCAGGGATGATGCATCTGATACTGAAGAGACGTCATCTAAGGCTTGCTGCACTTGTGAAGAGTTGACGCTGCTGCTATCTCTGGTACCCGATGTCTGCGTTGATAGAAGGTCTTCTGTCAATGTCTGCGCTGATAACAATGCCGATGTAGCTGTAGAAGCAGGCTTCCTTTTCTTACTGACGATGGTGATTTCAGGTATGAGGATGGGTGGATCATCATAACATCTGCTTCTTCCAGAGGAACAATCTCGGCTGAGAAAGACCTCGTCTTCTGTGTAGAGCTGAAGTCTTCATGGTTGTTGCCTTCTTCTTCTGCGAAGATCATGATTTAGCCTTCTTCATCTGTGATGGGGTCAGCTCAGTAGACGATGATCTCTTATGGCCTCCTGCTCCCGAGAAACGTTCAGCAATTCACTGGAATTATGAATATCTGCAGCAGTGGTTAACACACGGTTATCAGTGCAATCACTCGATTTAGACAATACCTTCGTACCCAGTCCTTAGCACGTCTATGGATGGAAAAAAGGTAATTATTAAATTCAACCAAAGTTAAATTTACACAAAACTTACAGCGAGAGCTGAAAGAACATGAAACAGTGCAATCAGGACATAATAAATGAGGGGCAGCTGCAGACACTCGGTATCTACAACGAATACAAGCTTTCATCAAATGTAAACATGAAGAAAACACATGTCAAACAACGGAAAATTTAGATTAAATTTCAAACCGTAATGTAGGACCGCCTTCGTGGTGTAGTGGTTAGAGCGTCTGCCCGGAGAGTACTTGTTGGTCCCTACCTGGCGCTCGGCATTAATGGGTAAAACAAGGACTGGTCGGCTCGGAGTCAGTATAATGTGTCTGAGTGGGGTATTCATGCTTCACTGCGGCATGGTATCTCAGTGGGCTAGCACTATAAAACCAGCTTCAGTCTGGGCTAGTACAAGCAGCCGCACATACACATACACACGCATGCACATCGTCATATGAGCGAAATATTCTCAAGCACGACGTAAAACCCAATTTCACCTCACCCCACCTCAAACCGTAATGTAGAGTATAGTCGAGTCCTCAAGGACGAAGGAGGAGAGAGTGACAAATATGGCCGATCATGTGACCATTTGGGCGCCAAAAGGGAGGAAAGGGACGCTACTTGTGGGTGAGTGATTTTACGTCCGCTTTTTTAGAAGGGAACTTCAAGGGATTTCAAGTGTTCCACTATCATTTGCAAGAGGAAGGAGACAAGCATAATTAGCATGAGTCAGGATAAGGAAAAATATAAATAACAACATTAAACAATACTTATATGCAGTTGTTTCTCAAGTGCTGACAAGAGTAAATCACTAAACTGACTGACTGAGTTTGGTTTTACGCCGCTTTTAGCAATATTCCAGCAACATCACGGCTGGAAATCACTAAACATTACATGACTTACACTGACAACCAGTTTGTGTCTCTCCAGGCAGTCAATAGCTTGGTCATACAGCTCTTCGTTGTCTAGGACCTCGATAGCTTTGTGGTAGTTCCCCAGCTGTTCAGTAACACCGACTTGCATCGACGTGTTTCTTGCATCTTCGGAACATCTTGGCAGCATCAAACAACTAGGATAGGAAACAGATTCTTCTTAGCAGTGTCAACAACAAGTAATTAAACAAACCTCACCCCACCAGTGTAAGCTTTGTCGAGTTTCGGACACAAGCAGTGATCACAAAAACCACCAAGGCCCCAGTCTAATCTGTTGTCATTGAACAGGAAAAATAATACAACTTTAACAAATTCCTTAGTAGTGAAAGGTACCAGTTCATGACGAGACATCAGTGGGTGAACAACAAGTATTGGACAGCCTTTCTGTTATGCCCGAGAAACCAACCCAAAGTTCAGAAAACCAAGCTTATAGAGTCATCCCTCGCAATAGCGGATTCGGTTAAACCGCGGGTAACAGTAACAACAGAGAAACCGTGAGTGAAATGGCATTACCTCATTCCATACAACGTCCGCTTACCACATTCGTGAGGGACCATTTTTCGCGCCTACTGCGATAGCACCAATTTCACATTTTTCTCAGCAATCATGAACAGATTACAGCCTCGTCATCCATGGACCCCAAGACTTGTCAAACTGTCTCCTACGTAAAATGTATCCCCCCTGGTAACCCAAAGTGCTTAGCCTATGTTAATTATTATGTTAAATATGTTCGTAGAAAACATGCATTTTACTTATACAATAGCAATATATAATGTCTCTGTAAAAATAACTGCATGAGATATAAATTATTCTGATAATAGAATAGAAATTCTTTGATGTTATATTTTCGGATCGTTTTTAACTGAATCACTGGTACATTGGACCAAAACATCTGTGCACAGTTGATTGCTATTTCCGGCTTAGTTGAATAACAGTTAGCATAACACGAACAACAATTGAATTATCATGTTTTGTGATGTTTGATTGCAAGTTTCCTGTTCAAACATCTATTTTCATTTACAAAGTTTGTTTTTTCACCTCCAACAATACGATATAATTTTTACTGGGCACAATACACGAAATAGCAGTGTTGTTTATGTCCATGGAAATACGATTTTACTTGGCCTTTGTTCCGCGTTATGTAATAGTTACTATAACGTGGGTGTCTAATAACGCGGGGGGTCATCCATGGACCCCCAGACCTGCGTTATGGCGAGGGATGACTGTACTCATTTAAACAACAAATATTTCCAATTCCTCGAAACTCAAATATAGGCACAGATACTGAACAGATTTCAGATGCCCACTACAGTTTGTTATATCTGTCAGTCCTCTTTAAACATGTTCATTACAAGCATAGTTTACCGTATACTATCTTCTTCCCTTGACAGACAGGTGACAAAACATCTTACTAAGATTTCATACACCTAAATACACAATGAGCAAAAATCATCATACCTGTCCACATTTCTCAAACAAGGCAGCTGCAAGCTCATATTCTCGAGCATTCTGCAGACAGAGGGCAGCCTTGTTGTCATTGCCACTCTCCAGAAACTTCTCCGCAGCATAGACAAACTCGTCCTTCATCTTCTTGGGGTTGTCCTTCATCCTGGAAGCTTTCAAGGCTTGATTGTGGGCTCTGGCTATCTTCTCCTTGGTCTCATTGCCCCCCATCCTGTAGCACTTGGCCGCCACCTCGTAGAGACACCGGCTCATCATCTCATCGACACGTTTCACCCAGTCATCCGGTGTCGACTTCTCAGCAAACATTGTCTCCTCCATACCAGCTGCAACATCCGACACAACAATAGTTCCTGAGAATGCCAATTTAAAAAATCAAACCATCGTAGACAAGTCGTTTCTTTTTTCTCCACAGCTTCACAAACACATACACAACATTTCCAACAAAGACATGAGACTTCTTTGATTGGCATTCTAGAAGTTGGGGAGATGAAGAATGAGGACTATTTTATGGATATACAACTTCTTTATTCTATATAGGCGATGTTTCGACATAGATTCTAATGTCGTTGTCAAGCAAGTGGTACATGGGAAATATTTTGGGTGATATATATATATACATGAGATGTTTGTACAATGAGGGATGAGGCGAAAATGAGTTGTTTATACAATAGCATAGGTTGATAACACAGGATTAAGTAGGTTGATAGGAAGCCAGTAAAGAACATGTACTTAGTTGTATACATAAGGGATTAAGGATGTTGATGGGCAGCCAGTACGGAATGGTATACATAGGTTGTTTACATAATAATAATAATAATAGCATGCTTGTAATACGCTGTTTTCCATGTACAACATGCTCAAAGCGCAAGACATAAAAGTACATACAAACAGACTATAGGAGAGAATAAAAGATTAGAGAGATACATGGAAACAATGCAATGAATTATCGTTTACACTCATAAGCTAATCTGAAAAAGTGCGTCTTTAGTAAAGATTTAAAATTAGAAAGTTCTGTACAGTCACGTAGATATTGAGGTAGTTGATTCCAGGCTGTAGAGGCTGCATCACGAAAAGGACCTTTCACCATCAGTAGAAGTCCTAACAGTGGGGATACTTGAGGAAAGCGTTTATCCTGTGAGCAGGAGAGGCGACATGGGCGGTGCTGTGTGAGGACTGGGCCAGATCTGAAGGGGCAGATCCAGACAGACAGTGGAAAGTGAGGCACAGAAGCTTGAATTGAATCCTATAGTGAATGGGCAGCCAGTGAAAAAGAATGTAGGAGTTTCAGGCGTCATCAGATTTCACATTGACTGGGTCACTACGTGCAACAGCGTTTTGCCTGCGCTGAAGTTTCCTTATCTGTGTCTTAGTGGCACCAGCGAGAAGGGAGTTACAGTAATCAATCCTGCTCATAACTAGAGACAGGACAAGAGTGGTGGCAGATTCGGTGGTGAGATATGGTGGGATATGTCCAATATGCGCGCCAACTGAGCAAAGCAGCTCTGGACTAGATGGGAAGCGTGATCATCCAGTGACACATCTGAGTCGATAATCACCACGAAGGTCTTTGACCTTGTCAGCGATTTGGATGTTTGTATTATCAAACCTAAAACATGTAAGACCACACTGTGATCTCCTTTTCTGTGGCCCTAGGACAATGCATTCCGTCTTGTCACTATTCAGTTTTAGTTTGTTGTAATGCATCCGCCTTGATGTCTTCACAACAAGTGCTCAATTCACTCAAGGCCCGCAATGCCTGAAGTGGCCTTGACTCCATGGATCTGTAGACTTGAGAGTCATCAGCATAGTGATGTCTGTCAGCTTCATGTCTTTCCACGACACTTCCAAGCTCCTTTATATACAAGGTGAAAAGAACCGGTCCTAAGGCGGATCCTTGTGGAACCCCACCGTAGATATGATGGGTCAGATAACAACTTGTCAATGATTACACACTGACTTCTATCGGACAGGTATGATTTAAACCACTCTAAAGCTGTTCCATCGATGAGAAATTCCAACCTCAGACGTTCTAGGAGTTTTCAGTGATCGATGGTGTCAAATGCACTGCTTAGGTCAAGAAGTGCCAAGACTGCGAGATTCTTGTTATTGATGCCAAGCCGAATGTCACTAACACTTTCAGCAATGCAGTCTCGGTGCTATGATGGCTATGGTAGGCGGACTGTAGATGATCATGAAGGTCATGTTTATCAAGATGTTCAGAAAGTCGTGTGCATACAGCACGCTCAACTAACTGAGATTAGATACTGGCCGGTAGTTGCCAAGCAGATCAAAGTCTAAGTTTGGCCTTTTCAGGAGTGGCTTCACTAGAGCAGACTTCAAGGAAGACGGCACTATTCCATATTCAAGACTAATGTTGATGATTTTTGTAAGAGTCGGAATTAAAAGATCAATGTTATCAAGGATGATGGATGTCGGCACAGGGTCCAAGTCACAGGAAGTAGGATTGGACTTCCGGATAATTTTCAACACTTCATCACAGGTGAATTTATTGAAAGTAACCAGTTTCTCGAGCAATCATCAGTTAGTTCAGTAGAGGCAGGTATCCGTGCTGGTCTCACATTAAGCCAGAAGAATCTGCAGACATCATGCCAGCGCGTATCTTGGCAATCTTCTCTGTAAAATTGCTGGAACGGTTAGGCAACACCTCGGGGAGAGTCTGTTTTCGGCAGTGGTGAAGTGAACTCCTTACCAAGAAGGCGGGACATGAGTCTGTACAGTGATCTTGTGTCAGACATTGAATCCTGGATTTGAGAGTTCAGTGACATCTGTTTGGCCTGCCTTATCGAAGACGTCACTTTATTTCTCGCAACACAGTAAATTTGCCTGTGGATTTCAAGATGGAAGCGTCTCCAGGCTCTCTCAGCACGGCGCCTGGCTTTCTTCGCAGCAATAACTTCCGGTGTTACAGACCATGGTGTAACAGTGGTAAAGGGACTGTTGGGAAGCCAGTGGTGAAGTGATGGTTTACACAATGGCTACTCACTGGGCACCAAATCATCTCCCTATATATTGTATATAATTGACACCTCGTTAGTCCGATGATTCAGTTTCCGCCTCCGAACGCTGGTCAGTCGGAACGGATTGGACTAATTAAGTTGTAAACAGCTGCGTTAATCCGAACGATTGAAGTTGACCGCGCTGCTGACTGGTCCACCCAAAGTGACACGTTGTTTGTTTAGCAACTTAGCGACTCTAGTTCATGTGAATAAACTCGTATTCCAGCCAAGGCCTACATCGAGTTTATACGGCGAGTGCATTTTCTTTGACGCACCTTTCCGCAAGGAATTTTAGCGGAACAGTTTTAGGCAAAATCAAGAATGAAGACTCAACCTATCGACAAGTGCATGTGCATGCATTACTAAAACAAACAATCGTCTTGAAAACGAGACACTTACCTCCACTAAAATTGACTCACTTTATTACTAAATGACCTGAAACATAAAAAAACCCACCAACTTTCCACCATTTGTCGACCATTTTGATTATGGTAATTAGCAGTTGTATCAAAAAAAGGAATCGTATTAAACGGACCAAGATTACATGACGCTCCGAAGTCGGAGGAAGGGGGACGAACTTTTAGCAGTTTCTATTTGTTCCTAAATACGTTTTTAAAAAACCAAAGTGTTCGTATTAACGAGGTCTGACTGTACACGTTCTTTACTGGATTCCTATCAACCTACTTAATCCTGTGTTATCAACCTATTCTATTGTATAAAACTCATTTTCGTCTCATCCCTCATTGTACAAACATCTCATGTATATATATATCACCCAAAATACTTCCCATGTACCACTTGCTTGACAACGACATTAGAATCTATGTCAAAACGTCGCCTATATAGAATAAAGAAGTTGTATATCCATAAAAATAGTCATTCTTCAAAAACATGAGATTTCCCCTGCAGCCCCAGATCCCACGTATGCAGTGGGAATAGTTTAGCAGATGATATATATAATATCAACAATTATCAACAGTAGACTAAATGTATGTGTCTTCATCATTTTAGTTCACTAGTGTTGAAAGTCACATGGCAAAATTATAGTACTGGAATTTTCTTTTGTTATTTTCCAGCTGACAATAAAGTTTTATTGTCAACACAAACCTTAAACAAACAGACCTTAAAACAAGGTCGACACAGGTTTTGTATATCACAACTTAATATGATGGAATACTACAATGCCAAACATGTAAAAAAAAAAAAAAGCGGATGTATAATCATCACTCACCCACGAGTAGTCTCCCTTGCCTCCTTTGACGCCCTTTTTGGTCACATGACCAGCCATGTTTGTCACTCTCTCCGTATGTATGCCTGACACCCGGATTTATTACAGGGAAATCCAGAGTGCCATAAGAGGGGAGGTTGGGAGGGCTGACCTCATGAGTCAGGATAAGTATAAAATATAAATTTTAGTCAGAAAATTACATATTTTTCCCTATCCTGACTCATGCTAAATGCTTGCAGAATCCTTGGAATCGGTGGTGGGTCAAGCCACTTCTGGATTCTCTGGCTGTTGATTTACGTCCTGTATTCCAATGCAAATGGGATCTCAAGATTCATTGCTCGAGCATGTGCAAAACTACTAACCTAGTTTTTACACTCTATAAATAGACACAAACACGCTAAGGGAGGTAAGCAATATGCAAATGAGGTTTTTCAAGACAAACTGATTGGTCAATGAACATTGTGACTCTGAATCCACAGTGTGAAGACAAAATCTGAGCTCTCAGTACCAGTTAGAATTGTAGAACTTTATTCACAAAATATTACAGTGAAATTACATGGGTCTGGCTAGTAATTTTTTTATTTTCCTAGTAAAAGAAAACATTTGCTTGTCAAAGGTCATGTAGAGCCCTGCTGTTATTTTTATAATATAGCAGTCGACATGCCGCCCAGATAGATACTGTCAGAAAACACAAAGTTAGAACATTTCAGTCAGGTTGGCCAAATACTCATCGGTTATGGCAAACTTATGACAGGGAAGGTGATTTAATATTTTTTAAACTATGTACTGAAAATGGTATGACACAAGATGCTAAATGTAGAAATTTTTAAAATATAACTTTGACCAGACATCTCATCATAATGATAATAAACTGTCCGTTCAGGCTCCAAAACTTTGTGATGATTTCCAGGTTGCAACTGCAGGTATGTATGAAAAACAAGACAAAGCAGCTGTCACCTTGATGAAATCTGTTCATTGGTTAGCTTGTGAAAACATCCCACTGACAAAGTTTAAACGTTTTGTTGACTTTTTATATGAATTTGAAAACGAAGACATTGAAATTCTCAAGGCAGGTAAA